CCCTTGGACCTGATAGATAGGAAGAACTCCTACAAATCCCACACATCCCATGATAAATAATAAACACAGAGAACACAAATCACTATCTGAAATAATGCTGTAAAAGCTTGTATTTTTCAGGTTAAAAGGTGATAGAAAAGCAGGGGTAGATGTTGGGCTGTGCACGACTCACTAAAAAGGTAGGAGCCATACACAGGGAGGACAACAGTTTGGCTGGGTTTGTACAAAGGCAGAGCTGCTGATCTGCATGCCTTGGGCTTTCCCAGGAGGTTATACCAAATCTGTCAACACAAGTGCTTGGGAATTCAGGATTCATATATGCCCTATGCCATCCCACTGTACTATTTCCTGCTCTTCTGTTGTATTTCCTAAACTTCTCTGCAATACCAGCATCACCTTTCTCAGTTTTTTGATAACTCCTCAAGGCAAAGCCTTTACATCCTCACGTACCCCTCCTGTACCCTCGGTATTCTTTGATGTGACTGACAGCCAGACACAGCCCACATCACAGCTCAGGGCAGCACAGTGAGCTGGCTGCCCAGCATAACCACTGCTGATTTCTTTCCATCAGGAAGGCATGTCCCTAATTAGCAGAAATCAGACTCTATTCCACATTTCTAACTGGCAGGTCTGATTTGGTAAAGAAGCCATTCAATAATTAGAAAAACTAGCACATTAGTCTGGAGATAAAGTCCTAAGAAGCGCCTGTGCATTAGGTATGCATGTGGCTGTCACTCTTGAAGCCCTTTGTTCCATTAAACTCCAGGTTTTGGGGAATCTGAGTTCAGGGCTCTTTCCCACCCAGCTGAAGATCAAGCAGCGAATTTAACTCTCCAGTGCAAAAGGTTCAAAGAAAGTGTCTACAATACACGACAGTGGGCTGAGAGACAGAGAGGCTTAAAGACTAAATCTGCTCTGGGACATGGCATTCATGTTGGACTGAAAGTCTGAATTCAGCCACAAAGGAGGCCACAAATTTCATGGTTTTGAGGCAGTTAAAACTTGGACCGTTTCTAGGGTTGGGCCTATCTCATCTCTCTGTTGTTATGTGGTGTCACTGCCAGGGCAACACTGGGATCTTGGGGTGGAGGACTAAGACAGCATGCAAGGGCTCATCTAGTTTGGCCCTGAAATAATCCAAAACAGACCACACTCACAATTCCTTCTACCATGTGCCAAAGAATACCCAAAACTTACCACAGATCCAACATTTGTGAAAAATATTTGATGAGACAACTAGCTGGGCTTCAAGCCTGGCTGCAGAAGTGCTCTGGCAGAGCAAATTGCATTTTGAAATAAGATATTCAAATAACAAAGACGAATGTAGAGCTACTTCTACACTACATTGGCATTTAAAATATTCCTGATTAACTTCTTTTCCTTAATTGATTTTTAGTCAGGCAGCTAGTGAAAATTAAATATGCATCAGGAATTTTAGCAGGGCTAGCTGTTTCTGAAGTGGCAAAACAGTCTCTGAAGTGGCAAAACCTCTACAACTTGGTCAAGGGAAATTGGGGCAGGGGTGGAGACAAGGCTTGGGCTTAAAGAACTTTTAAAGTTTCCTATGTGATTAAATTAAATTCAGTACTGATGGTAGCTATAATGCAGGATACATGAGCAGGAGAACTGTGCAGAGTGGTTCTGTCACCGATTGTAATTTTGTTTTCTTGAAACAGTTAAAGTGTTTTTGTTTCCTGAAGGAAAAAGCGCCAAATCTAGCGCCGAGTTTACTGTTTTGTCAGTAGCACTTGGGTTTACAACAACTCCCAGTAATATTCTAACTGCAGTTTCCTTTTATCTGCTGTTATAATATGGCAGGGCCTGACACCTTTTTAGACATGAAAAGACTATCTTGTCTCAAGTAACAGCTGCCATTAGTCTCTTTTGCCACTCCATTTCCAAGCATCTCCCTTGACACAAGAGCACAGACCCAAGGCTGTGCCAAGTTAAATAAATGCCTTTTCAAATTAGAAAATTTCTTGGTTAACTGTCAAAAGACTTATTATGTTCATCAAATTTTTGTGTTTGTTAGGTAGGTTCACATGTGGGTATTTCAGTAATCTCTACGAATGGAAAAATGACAGTGGGATAGAGAGACATTGAGAGGTGATCTTTTAAATGATATGTTTTTTCTAGCTCTCTACATATACATTTCATGTAAACAGCATTTATTTTCCTTTCTTGTTGATTGTGGACCTAAAATAGTAACTTAAAATCCTAAGGAATGCCAAGTAAATGTTTCCTTTGTCAAGCTAAGCTGAACAAATGAGCTACATTTAATATTTAATGCTGTTCGTAAGTGGGAATAATATTTACCCTGCTAAAACAGAACCTATCTATGGCTCTGCTCTGTATCTCTGTGAGCATCATTCAAGCTAGAGGGATGCCAGCAAGAGTGACAGATCAGGTAAAGTACTCGAGCTAGGACAACAGTTGTGCAGAAAACCTTTCAGAAAATGACTTTAAGAACAATGAGCCCCTTACCTGCCCCACCTCCATAGTAGCTACATTTTCATTACTTTGTATGAAGCACCCTGGCAGAGCCTATTCAGACAGATGATAAATGAAAATCTATTCAGGCTCATGAGGTTGATGCATCAACTGATTTATTCTTACAGGCAGTTTAACATAATCCTGGAGAAACATTCTCTCCAGAAGAAAGTTATGTTACACCTCCTCAATTTACTTAAACATCATTCTCACAAGTGTGAGAGGTTGCAAAGCAGTCAACACAGTAAAAAGCTCCAAAGAAAAAACATCCCTAATCTTTAGATTGAGTAAATTACATAAAGATGAGAAACCAAAACAATTTAAAAACTGTAATTATCCTTCTGTAATGAATCACAAGTTTAATTCAAGCAACAGTCACCCCCAATGATGAATGTTTTTATTTACTGCAAGGAGCAGCTACAGCGTAAATAGAGGGCGCATTCTACACAGTAGTTTTTTCCGCCACATCTATTGCTGCTTCTTAAGTAGTGACAGAAAATTGGCACAAAATTTGGATGCATTACATATGAAAAAATGGAGAATTTTTTACTTTTCATGCTTGAACTGTACTTGTGAAACCCAATTAATTAGTAGGAGAAAAATCAGCAACATATTTTTCCTCTGCAGTTCTTAATATATCTCATTTCTGACTTTCATAATTCACAAAATTCTAACAGTGTTTTCACCTACTCATCCACTAAAGCAGTCATCTCAAGCAGATTTGGAAGACAAAGAAAATTCCCTCCAAAATCCACTCTTGGCCCCCTGATTCTAAAGAAAACTCTAAATCACAGAAATTCACACATTGTGGGTGAAACTGAATGATCCCCCAACAAATGAGCACATTCCCATACCCTGGGAGGGAACAAAAGTGAGTGCATTCACATGGTGTTGGCATTTTTATTAATCAAAATTTAAACACTTGATTACAACTTTCAGTATTCAAAACCATCAGCAAGAAAAAAAAAAAATCATACATAACCAAAACCAGTGTTTTTCCACAAAAAGAACTCCCATTCAGATCTCTCCATTACTGACCGCTGCATAAGGAAAGCTTCCCTGCCCATGGCACAGGGGTTGGAATCAGCTGTTTTTAAGGTTCCCTCCAACCCAAACCATTCTGTCAGGCTATCAATCTCCTCCTTTAAAACTGCCAGATGACTCTTACTCTCCTTCACAACACTGTTCTTCCAGCTACCTTCTCACATCAGCTGGGCACTTAAGAGGCCCCAGAAGACAAAGACCATCTTCAAAACTGAAAATAAATTCCCAATATTTTTGATTTTATCATTTCCAGAATACATCTCTCATTTGGAAAATCAATTATGAATAAAACTTTTCCATCTTCCCAGAGAGTAAACTAAGAAAGTACCATTTTGTCTAATTGCAGATTGTATTAGCTATAGGCTACCTGTATTCCTTAAACACATCTGGAATTCAGCTTCCAAACTTGGTCCTTGACCAAGATGAAGAACTGACATTTTCACTAAGGCACAGATATTCTAAATTTCTCTTGTTACCAATATGTCTTGGCAAGAATTGTCTTCCTTCTGACTGGTGCACAGAAAAAGTTACAAACACCTAATACAGACAAGGAGGCATTCCTCCAACAGGCAACTGTTGAGAACTTTTTTTGGTGTATGAACAGCGATTGCTTCTGTAATAAAGAGGTAGGAAGAGCACCTTCAAAACTGTAATTGTACTCATGTTTCCCCTTTTAAAAAATGCTCAAACATGATATTATTCAAAGAATTTGCAATATGATAACTAGATTTTCTGTAACTTTCACTCTATTATGAATGGAAGTGAATTTTAAATGAGATTTCAACCTTCTTTAAAAAAAATGCCCTAATTAAATTTAATTAAATTAGTCATCAAATCTCCATAAATATTAGATGTGACAGCTACAACACCAGAATATCCTTACATGGCTTATTCCACTCTTTGGAAGAGGTGCACCCACAAAGAACAGCTTATTATGGGGCACAGCAGACATAAATTTAGCTACCCTGTGAGGTACATCTGCTGTGTGTCTCTATCTGGTCCTTCAGAGATGGTCAATACAACCAGAAACACAGGATTTCAAAACCCATTTCAAAACTTGCAAAATTAAATTAGTGGAGGAGAATGGAGAATTTCAGTTTAAAAATGTTGCATCACTTTGTCTTATTAGGAAAATCCAACAGCACTGAAGGCACTGTTTTCTAGTAAGTGTTTTTGTAAGCAAGACTAATAGCTGTACACAAAATCTGCATAACTGATTGGGAAAAAAACCCCTTTTTCTTAAATAAATCTCCCTCATCCTTGCATACTGTATCCAGTTCAGAATGTAAACACACACAGAATGACTGGTACTTGCCTACAATCAACTGTTTGGCACTTTTGTTAACATTTTAGTTTCAAACTTCAGCTCCAGTGCCAGCACTTCCTATTCATTAAAACTGTGTCCACGTAAGACTGATAGCGCATACTGCAGAAACTTTGATAAAGAACTCTTCAAGAACTGACAATTAATTGCTATCATTATCTATTTTATGGAGAACTGAATTGATTTTGATTCTTCCTTTCAGTCTTTCAGACAGAGGAAGGGGACTGTCTGCCCACGCAGAAGTCAGAATAGCATTTCTGTCTTGCTGTGTGGGATCAGAACCCAATCTTCCAATTGGTCGTTCTGGACTTTGGGAACAATTAACTTCTTCTATGGAGGATGGTTTTGGAGCTTCTTGCACTGAGAAACTGTTAACAGCTTTCTTTAAATCAGTCATTTTCTTCTTCCCCGTAATTGTAAGGACTGAGTCACTCTTTGTCCTTTTGCTAGAAACAATGCTATTTTTCTTTGTAAAACATTTTTTAAACTTGCCAGGGTTCAGTTGCCTTTTCTGCTGCTCATAAACCAGGATTTTATCCACGTGCCCATCATCACTGTCTTCACTAGAAGAGCATCTGTTCTGACAGACACTCTTCTTAAAAGAAGCTTTCCAAGTAGTTTTAATACAAGTTTCTTTAATGTGACAGCCAGTTGCATCTGCTGGCTTTTGAGACACTGGCAGCATTTCACACCCAGGATGAAACGTCTCTGGTGTTTGACCCCTGCAGGCGAGAGATGCTGAACCACTTCTGGAAGGGTCTTTTTGCACCATTTCAGCCAGGATGTCAGCTTTTTTGTATGCATCTTGATAGATATGTACGCTGGATTCACTAGCAGAGTTTTCTGATAGAACATTTTTATTTTCCTGCACTAGGTTATTTAACTGACATGAAGAAGAGACATGATTTCTATCAGGATTCAATGTTTCTTTTGTTTGTTTAAAACAATTCAAAGACTCCAGTTGCACTGCATCTTCAGACAAAGGCTGTGATGGAATGGGAGCCTTCTTAAGTATTCGCTCGCTTAAAGACCACTCCTGAAGTTGTCCCATAGCATCATTTGAGAACACATCGTCTTCACTGTCAGAATGCATATCAGACTGTGTAACATCAGAATATTCTGAGCTATTTCTTACTGTTTCATGACTTAGTGGATGTGAGTATTTTATGCAGGTGGTTAAGTCAGCTGCTGGGTCATGGTCATCACCTCCATGGGCTGGTGCAGTGCTGAAGGAGGTTCCTTTCCCATCAGTACGGCTCAGTTGCAGACCAGCTGGTACAAAGGAAGAGGATGATATCCCTGAATATTTAGTGCATTGTGAGGGCACAGATGAGTCAGCAAGAGCAGCTGCTGATGCTGACACATGAACTGTTGTTATGCAGGAAGCTGAAGGCAATGCTACATCTTTTGATCCAGTACTTCTCAGCTGTGTCTGATCTTCTGGGGTTGTTTTTGTATCTGACATGGAGTGTTGCACAGAAAGAATTCTGTTTGTAGGCTTTAAATTAATTTGAGACAGAAGATTGGTAATTTCATCATAAGAATTTGGTAATTCCTTTTCTTCTGATCTGTCTTTCTTTTCTGAAAAGAAAAATAATAAAAAGTGCACTTTGAATGGCATATAAATCACAGTTCATATTTCTTAGTGCAGAAGTACAGAATAGAAAGAATAAAGCACAGTCGCCTCATCTTGCTTTAGCATTGTATTGTTCAAGAGTGGAAGAAATGTTTTCTGCTTTTTTGCATTCTGGCAAGACACATGGATTCATAAAAAATAAGCTTCTGGACTTACTTTTCTGTTTCTTCTGAAGAATGTCTGGCTTTTCCACTTGATAGAGGGCAACAACATCAGGATAAGCAGCCTGAAACAAAGACTCTTCTTCTACTGTGACTACAAACAACTCCACAGGCTCATCTTCTGGATCAACATAATGTTCTGAAAAAATAATGAATGTACTTTTGATATGAATGACATGTCAAAGTAGGGAATGAAAAACCAAAGAGCAAAGAAGGTACATAAAAAGTCAATAGTATGATATTTGACGTTTATCTACAAGTAAAGTATTTTTCTTCCTGCCAGTCTCCTGGCAGAAATGGTCACACTATAGGGAGGAGTCTGGCAGCACAGAAAAGTTTCTAGCTAGTAAATAGTGACAGCCTTAGGTACATAGTGAAATAAGGTATGAAATACACAGTTTAGGTCTTATTTACAAGTACCAGAAAAAGTTGAAGACTGAGTCCCTTGCTTTCTAGGTAAATTTGTTTTCTTTAAAGCATTGCTTTTTCTTTCAGGGTACATGAAATTTGATGCACATTTCCTGTTATTTCCACAGAACAGTTTCCAATCTCCCCCACATTCTATTGCCTTAGAGTGTTGCCAAACTCTTGTCCTCTTTAAAGCTTGATTTTGTCTTTTTCTATGGACTGTTTTGTTCCATAATGTACATAGAAACCAGACCCACCTGGTTTTTGCCATTCAATTTCAAAACAAGGAATTCCATTTTTAACACGTGTCTTAACAATCCTGTAAGAAGAGGAAGTCCATTAAATGACTTAAATCTAGACTTAATTCTAAAAATATTTCAATATTCTAATTTGGAATGATTCAGAGAAAAAAAAATCTCATAAAATTGAAATTACTACATCTTTTAAAAAAATACACTACCTCTGTATACAGTAAAATTTGTAGTATAGATTTGACCACTGAAACATTTTTATTTGACACTCAGAAGAGCATTCACACAAAATAAAAAAGCTTTTCTGTAAGATACAAATATAATGCAGGCTCCTACAAACATCAGCTGAAAGGCATGTCCTGTCTGACCAACCTGATCTCCTTCTTCGACAGGGTGACCCACTTAGGAGATGAGAGCAAGGTTGTAGATGTTGTCTGCCTAGACTTCAGTAAAACCTTTGATGCCATTTCCTAGCTTTCTCCTAGGGAAACTGGCTTCTCATGGCTGGGATAGGTGCACTGGGTTAAAAATGGTTTAGATGGTCAAGCTCAGAGAGGGGTGGTGAGTGGAGTTACATCCAGCTGGCGGTCAGTCACTGCTGGGGCTCCCCAGGGCTCACTACTGGGGCCAGCCCTGTTTAATGTCTCTATCAGTGACCTGGATGAGGGGATCAAGTGCACTCTCAGTCAGTTCACAGACAACACCAAGTTGGGCAGGAGCGCTGACCTGCTGGAGGGCAGGAAGGCTCTGCAGAGGAACCTGGACAGGCTGGACTGATGCTGAGGCCAGTGGTGTGAGGTTCAACAAGGCCAAGTGCTGGGTCCTGCCCTTGGGTCACAACAACCCCTGCAGTGCTACAGGCTGGGGAAGAGTGGCTGGAAACAGAACAAGAGCAAAAGGATCTGGGAGCGTTGGTCAACAGCAGTTCAACATGAGCCACAGTGTGCCCAGGTAGGCAAGGCCAATGGCATCCTGGCCTGGATCAGTAACAGAGTGGTCAGCAGGACCAGGACAGTGATGATCCACCTGCACTGGGCACTGGTGCGGCCACACCTCAAATCCTGTGTCTATTTCTGGGCCCCTCACCACAAGGGGTCATACTGGATGTGCTGGAGCATGTCCAGAGAAGGGCAGTGGAGCTGATGAAGGAGCTGGAAAGGAAAGGAAATGGCCTCAAGCTGTACCAGGGGAAGACTACATTGGATATTAGAAACAATTTCTTCATGGAAAGGGTTGTCAAGCATTGGAACAAAGTGCCCAGAGAAGTTGTTAAGCCACCATCCCTGGAGATACCTAATTTAAAAGATGTGTAGATGCGGAACTGAGGGACACAGTTTAGTGGTGGACTTGTCAGTGTCAGGTTAATGGTTGGACTTCTCCAAACCAAATGATTCTATGATTTTAAGATTCTAATGCCAGAGAAGGCTGTTGACAGTAATTTTCTGAATGACCAGACAGGGTCATTTATATCTTTTGTATGAGAACATGAGGAGAGACACAACTTGAACTGAGCAGGGACAGTCAGGCACTGAGATTTTTCTAAAAAGACTATCTACACCCCAGTTTAGTAGCTTCCTATGCATGAAGAGTAGGGTCATGCTGATCCTGCTGAACCATTTTTAAACACTTGCTAACAAAAGAAATCTTCCAGAGCACGCACCATCTCTCTTTTAAACTTCTGAAACTCCAGAATGTGTTATAAACAGAGAATGTTAATGAATTCATTCATAAAGGTAAATGCTGGTAATTTATCTTGCCAACCTATTTAAAAAGCATTCTCCAACCAGTCTCCCCAATCTTTTGAAAGATAACACTGAATAGATCAGCATCTCTATAAGTACTAATTCAAGACTATGACACATCAACTCAGAAGTGATACTATCACTGATATTGACTGTCCTCCTGTGCCCCAAAATTCATGTCTAAAAACCCTGACTAGCATGGAAAAATTACTAAACTTCTTCCAATAAAAGAATCGGGGAGGCAGGGAGAATTTGGGCTTCATTTGGGAAAAGAAACCATCAGATAAAGTTAAAATAAGTCGCAATTCCCTTCACAAAGTGAAGTTCAGATTTGCCAACAGACACTGCAGATTCTAGAAGTTGACTTAAGTTTAAGAAGAGATTAGATCATTAAGAAAAAAAAATTACATTGAGGGCTGACAGAATAAGAAAATGTTCATTCCGGCTCAGTACATTCCTAAGTAATAGAAATCTGGATGGTGGAAAAGTATTCTGGGAGAAAGTAATTACATGCTTATCTTGCTTTTTCTTCCTTGCATGTCCATTTTTAGTAACTGTATACTTGGCCATTCTTACATTTCTAGATGTAGCAGTCCTGAATGAAAAGTAGTGTTGACACATAATACAGTGACAGCTGGTAGGTCTGATAAGCAATCTGAGACTCTGACTAAATTTCCAGATGCTAATTTCTAAGCCTGAACTCTTATTTTGAGACACAGAATTCAATTAAATGTATGCTGTGTACCTGAGCAGAGGACTGAGGCAGATCCAAGGAAAAGGAACAAAAAGCAAGCATAGGAGAACACAAGCACTGCCAGTCAGAATGAGACTGCTCTACATATTACTTTGTGCAGCAGTAGTAGAATTGGTGCACTGATCTGAATTTTTACCTCTATTCAAAACAAGCACAAAGCTTGAAACACAGATGGAAGAAAACCGTATTTCCTTTTTTCCAGAAAAAAACCCAGCAGAAGTAAACATATTAAGTTGAAGAAATCAAGCTACATTACCTTATTGCCTGCAGTTGTTTTGAGTCAATGTATCCAGATTTTCTCTGGATCATATCATAACGTGTCAAAAGTGCTAACAGCTTCTTACAAGCATAATGTTTGGTCCATTCCATCTTCTCTGAAGCAAATAGCTGTTTGTATAAAAAAAAAATCCCAAACTTTAAAACATTCTTTATTCTATTAGATGTCATGCTTAGATAGTTATGTAGTTGGGACACTGGGCTAAATACTTAAAATATCTAGAGTATTTTATATATTGGTGTAATGCCCAACAACATCTCACTGCCAAGGGAGGGAACAGGCGTCCCTAGCAGGGCACATTCATCAGCTGTCAGTGACAAGCCAAGGAACAGTTGTGTGGGGGCAGCAGCAGGGATAAGACAGTTGTTAAACACCTTGTCAGGTTCACACCAGCTCTACCAGGAGCTGTGAAAGTTACAGATTTCACATGTGGGACAATGAATATGGATCTTCATTAAAGCCACACTGTTCAACTGTGATCTACTCTAGTATCCATAATTCTTACACTGTCATCAAACCCCAAAAATGAAACTGATTTCTTCCCAAGTCTTCAATTTTAGGCTTTCAAAACAGTGAGGTGTATTAAGATGTTGTAGCAAGATTCTTTAGTTCTTATTTCAAGTAAAATTACCAATGAAGATCACCATTATCACTTCCTTAGTAATAAATAAAAGACTATAAAGCTGAATATTCAATATTTTCTTACATACCTGAAAGGACAATAAATTTGGCCTTCGACATTCCTTTATGTTGATCGATTTATTCTTGTTTACAAGAAACTCTTGGATAACCTTTAGATAAAACATAAAAGAAACAGTTTAAGAGAGGACAAAAAGCTGAAATTGAAACTAATTGATTAAAACAATTGATATTAAGTAGGCTTGTTTGTTACCTCAGAAAATGGAAAGCCCTCACAACTCATGGCTTTTCTGGAGGTAAAAACAAATGTGTTAAGGACTGAGGACAAATGGGAAAAAATGCAGCATCTAAATGCTCACCCTGCATGTGAATGCAGGGAAAAGCAGTTAAATTTTCAGGCCATTCCTACTTTCTGATACTGTCCTCCACTGCATTTGCTTGTTTCACTCGCTCCCACCGATGCCATGCACAGGGGCAGTGTTTGGAGTCACTGGGTTTGCAGCATCTCACACTTTCACAGAATTTACATCCATTGTGCTCGTGTTCCTTCTGAGATCCTATAGCAACAGACACAAAGTGAGGAGAAAAGGGGTTCCCAAAATCTCCAAACCTATAAAGGCAATATTACAAATACAAAGCTCAGAACACGTATGAATGTCATGTGAATGGCAACTGTAAGCAGATCTGAGTGCATTAGCTGCATTTATGAATCTATAGTAAAAACTGAAAAAGACATGCAGGCTTCCATTCTTCTGAAGACTTTTTCCCTCAACAGTTTCAGATCTTAAGCTGGAAACTTATTATCAAAAAACTACAGAAGTAATGTGTGATAACCTGGAAAACACATATAAGTAATATATTTGAATCAGGCTTTTCCTTCACCAAATGATGGACTTGAATGAGTTCACTGATCAAAGATGATACCAAAATCAAGGTCTTTGGGATTAATTTCTTCTTGAAAAAACACTGCCACATACCTCATCAATGAGACGAGATTTCGTCCTCTTGATGCAGGACCAGTTCCAGCAAATAAAGAAATAGTTGCTAGGCAGTACAGAGTATAGCATGCTGTCTTTACTGGTCATGTTAAAAAGGCAAATATCTGGGATCCCACAACAGCATTATGATAACATTCCATCTGCTGTCAACTAGTTTCACATTTGAAGAAAATTAGTCCCAAGCCTTAGAAGTGTTTATATAAGGGTATATGCACAAAGGGTATATGTTTAAGGGTACATATGTACAGTATTGAAAACATGAAGATGGAAGCTGAAAAGCATTTTTAACACTAGTAGAAAAAAACCCAAAATCCAATAAAACAAAACTCATCACTCCATAATAAAAAGTAAACAATTAGGCTAAAAGCACAGCTCAGCACTTTTCACACTGACCTGGATGATGGCACTGTGAACAATGAATTACCCTTTTAACAACCAAAGGTGGATTATCATCATACTGAAATTTTTCCTTCCACTGCTCAAACCTGAAAGGATGATGTTAAAAGGATCAAGAAATATTTTTAGCTTTCACACTTAAACCACTGAAAAAGAATTTCTTTATACTTGTCAAGCATTTATCCAAGAAACAGTTTCTCAACTTATGAAACAAGGGTTTTTACAGTACATCATGTTGGATTTCTAGCATTGACACACACATTATGATAACACAGAAAGCACTTGGTATCTCAAATCCTAATCCACAACCCAACTAAAAAGCAGCAAGTCTCAGCAGTCCCTACAACTTTCACTCCAATATATCAACTTATACCTGCTAGCTCAAGAGTTAGGAGACAGCTCATGTTTAAAACAAATAGGAGACTTGCCTAGCAAAACAATTCCTTTAGCAAGCACAAGGTAAGGAAAGTGGTAACATCCTCCGTAACTTAAAGTATTACAAACATTGTCTTGGAGCTGAAGTACATACTATTAAGTCTTTGAATAAAAAACAATTATGTAAATTTCCATTTTACCTTTGCAATAAGTTTTGACCTTGCAGAGTCTCAATTAACTTTAAAGCTTGCTCCTTCCCAACTCCTGGAACACCCTATAGTGAAATATGAAATATTATTTAATTACAAACAAAATATTCATATTCTCACAAAAACATCTTTATTACATAGTGTAGAGAAATGACAAAAAGTGATACCAGATGTTGAGAATAAATTGAGAAAAATATTTTCGACCAAGTTTAAGGGCAGAGAAGGTGATTACAGATCACAGATATAGGTTACAGCTGTATTGCCAGTGTAACACACAAGCTGTTCTTATGCTCAACAGCACCTGAGATAAAACAAGGCAAAGAAGGAAGTAGGAGGCAATAATAAACTAAAACAAGTCCAATTCAGAAAAGAGAAATTACAATGAAGTAGAGAAACACTGGCACAGGTTGCCCAGGGAAGGGGTAGATGCTCCATTCTGGAAATATTCAGGGTCAGGCTGGAATGGGGCTCCGAGTGACCCGGTTTAATTGAAGATGTCTCTCACTGCAGGAGGGTTGGACTTTGGACTAAATGAACTTCAGAGGTCCCTTCTGACCCAAACTACTGTATCAGTCTATGATTTAAAACACACACATATTGCTTTCCAGTTATTTCCATCTTCACCCTATTTTGCTAAGAATCAATACACCTGAAGATTGTATTGAGTACTTTCTACAGCACAATTACAAATAAATCTATTTTTATTCAGTTGTAATGGCACAACTGAATACCTACAACCATATAAAATAAATCTATATTTTAAACCAAGTCCTCATTGGACTACAGTCAAATATTCAAGTAAAGTCAGATATTCAGTTTCTGCAAGGAAAGGATTATTCTGATGTATTTTCAACAAAATAAGTGCAATTATAGCATGGTATTCTCATTTACCTGTTCTGCCAATCTCCTTTCCCAATGCACTCCTATAATTCAGCTTTCTTTACAAGTTTCTGTCTTCATCTACCTTGCTGAGCTGCAATAATTCAAAGGATCTATCTGGCATCACATAATTGTGACATTTTAAGGCTATGTAAGAATCTGGCATTCCAGGAACTGCTTTGGTACAATAACCACCGATTATCCACTGTTTTTTTTACTCCCTCTCTTTACACAGTAGTAACAAACTATTTAAAGATTCCTATAACAGAAACAAAATTTTTTAAAAAAATCCCAAAAACAAAAACAGTGAAAGGTTTGTTTTTTCCAGCAGTATCAGTTGTTTAAAGGATAGTTTTTTCAAGCTGGGACACAATTATTTAAGAATAACTAGATATCTGCTGCAAGCCTGAATGGGAGCAATCATTGCCTGAAGTCACTACATGATGAACTGTATGGAAATCAAGTTTCATCGCACTTCTTCTCCCTTTCAAATAGCCATTACAACAGATTCTGTTCAAAGTCTCAAAAAAGAATTCAGAGTTTACAATAAAGAACAAAAAGAAAGAAGTGAAGTAGTAATGAGTGAGACTCTCTCAATTAATTAGGTAAACTTCCAAATAGATCACTTCTAATTCTTTGTAAATCATATATTTACAGACAATGGAACAGGAATACATCCGAACTGCATCCAGAATTGCCTTTACTAATAACTACAGCCCAAAATCACCACTACAAAGTCTTCCAAAGAGCACAGACAAAGCCATTTTTTTCTCATTTTCCACAGCTCCTCTGCCAGGGATGCACTTGTATGTGACTTGTTACAAAGCATCCTCATAAATAATGGAGCTCTCACACCTTGGCTCAACGTAATCGGCATTTAAACTTTTGCCTCCACCTCCATTACAGAAAAGGTTTGGAACGAGACAAAACAGTCTTAGAGAGACTGATGTTCATAGACCATTTTAAATATCTTTAGCCTTTTACAAATAGAATTTACAGTGACTTCCTACACATCTTCTACTGGATCTCAGTAATCATGCATTGCATAAGCTTTCCCAGCATGCACATCTCCCTTGATGCACTTTGTTATTTTTCAAGACAGTGTAAGCACCAAATAAAAAATAATTATATTGCTTACCTTTGGAAGATAATCACAGCCCAGAAGAACTGCTAGCCCAATCAAAGACTCTCTGTCACAACCGAGTTTCTCTTTAATAGAGGACATTGTGTAACTGTCAAGATGTGGATCCTGCAAGAGAAATTTATTACATATTATTTCTGTTACATCTGTTACAAGGAAGGAACTGCGCTGAGTCACATTCAATTGGCATTGCTTACACCAAAAATTAATTGCCATTAAAATTTATAATCTAATGCACCGACACCACGTGAACAACTACAGTTCTGGAACTTCAAGTATGGGCATCAACTGTTGAAAGAAACTAAAATAAGCCAAGAAGTCCAGCACACAGCTGGATAACCATTTCACATGATGGGTGACGAACTGTCTCACAGGTCAGGCACAGAGTCACAGTGGATAGGGTTAAATCAAGCTGGCAACTTCTCACAAGAGGAGTTCCACAGGGCTCCTGTCCTCAGCCCACTTCTCAACAACTTCATTATCATCCTGAAGGCAATACCAAAAGGGTTAATTAAATTTCAGGATTGGAAGGAACACTAAGTAAGTTTACCAACAACACTAAATTGAGAACAGTTGTTGACTCCCTGAAGGGCAAAGTGACAAACTGGAGAGATGAGTGTTCACCAACCATATGAAGTTTAACAAGGGGAAGTGCTGGATCCTGCACCTGGCAGGGGTAGCCCTGGCTGTGTGCACAGACTGGGCAATGAGAGCCTGGAGAGCAGTGCTACAGAAAGGGACTGGGGATCCTGGCTGATGGCAAGCTGAACACGAGGCAGCAGTGCCCTGGCAGCCAGGAGGGCCATTCCTGCCCTGGGGGCATCAGGAACAGCATGGCCAGCCGGGCAAGGGAGGGGATTGAGGGGATTGTCCCGCTCTGCTCTGCACTGGAGCAGCCTCACCTCGAGTGCTGGGGGCAGTTTTGGGGTGCCACAATATTAAAACTTCATTAAGCCATTAGAGACCATCCAAAGGAGGCAACAAAGGTGGTGAAGGGCCTTGAGGGGAAGCTGTGTGAGGAGTGGCTGAAGTCACTTGGTCTGTTCAGCCTGGAGGAGACTGAGGAGGGACCAAGGGGAAGGAGAGGGGCAGACACTGATCTCTGATCTTTTCACTCTGGTGACCAGTGACAGGGCTCGAGGAAGCCGCATGAAGCTGCATCGGGGAGGTTTGGGTTGAGCATCAGGAAGATGTGTTTCACCCAAAGGGTGGTTGGGCACTGGAACAGGCTCCCCAGGGAAGTGGCCACAGCACCATGATACCCCTGACAGAGTTCAGAAAGTGTTTGGACAAGGCTCGCAGGCACGTGGTGACTCTTGGGCTGTCCTGTTCAGGGCCAGGAGTTGGACTCAATGATCCTGATGGGTCCCTTCCAACTTAGTGACTCTCGGTGTTTTTATTGTTTACTACCTGTAGAAAAAATGTGGCAAAACTAACATTTTTTAAAAAAGTGGAAAAACTAATGTTATCAAATCCTAGTGGCTGTGCCAAGTCATTTCAGGAAGTGAAGTTTTTAAAATGCTTGCAAACATTTCAATGTACTACTTAAGTAAAATAAAAAAAAAAGAATAAAAATGTTATCTAACATATCAGGCATAAGCTAAAGGAATATTTGAAAAGTAAAGGGACTCAAATACAAAATGGAATCAAGATTAAAATGGAATCAAGATTAACACTGTCCTCTTCCTCAATCACGACAAAAAAATCCCCCACAAGCCACCAAACCAAAGTGATCCATCTCGCTAGAACAGCTGCCCCTGACAGTGTGCCCCCTGCATACTCACACATTATTTTTATGCTGACCTATATATGTAACTAAGTACACCTGTAACGTTGAGCTTGCCTTCACTGTTGGTGATAAATGACAAAGAAGTTGAATGAAAGCACCAGGTCAAGGAAGAACTCAAACATTATGCCACCAAAGTAAATAATCTTCCATCAACCCTATTTTTTTTTGAGTTACTTATTTGTAGTGCACTTCTTTTGTTCTATTGATTTTCGCACATCTCCGATGTATTTTTTCAACAAGTCTTTCAGATGAACATTATAAATTACAGAAATTTGGGGTAGCCTTTCACCATTTCTGGAAAATTGTATTCTTAACAAATGAACACTTCAGTTTAAGGCCATAAATTATTTGGTTTTCTGAGTGGTCACAAAAATTGATTGTGATACAGATGTACAATCCCTACACTATTCATATTCAATTGGGACAGACAGCATTAATTGCAAGTATATGCATAATAAAATGAACCTGTGAGATGCAAGTATATGAACACTTATTAGACCCAGGAGGCTGATCACTCTCATATGACCGAAGGGTAAAATTTATAGGAAGCAATTACTTCACTCAACTTCTCCACAGTAAAGGAGGAAACAGGAAAAAAAAATTGCTATTTAGCTTTATCTGAGACACCACAGGGTACTTACTACAAGCACAGGCAATATTACCCTGTTTTCAGTAGTTTTCCTCTCACAGCCAATACAAGAATTACCAGTGAATTAAATAAAATGTTCCTGTCTTAAACATACTATTTTAAACAAACTCAACTGCTACAAGATAAGTTTAATAACATATAAGTATTTTTTCAAGTCCCTTCTTTCTATTTACATTTCTGTAAAGAGTCTATAGAAAGGGTGAGAACAGGGTGAGGTACATTACCTTAGCATTCATGGCAAAGTTCCTATAAACTGTTTGAGCTCCATACAAGAAAACATCTCCATCATTGGTAATGCAGCCATCAACAAGTCCTTTTGCATTTAGGTAGGCACACATTGCCTCTGCTTCTCCAGCTGCTTGAACCCAAGGGACACCTAAACACTCCAGCAGTTCAAGACACTAAAAGAAGGAACACAGAAGGAAAGAGGTTGAATGTTGAGCTATTAAATTCACTTATTAGCATGCATTTTCTCAGACACAAGTGCATTTAAAAACCGCTACTGTTGTTCTGCCAATGTAACACCTCATCAATGAAAGCACTACTTCAGCAAAACATAATTTCCTGTATCAGTGAAAAGCAGTTATCCACAAAGAGCTAAGTATTAATTACAGGACTTGAACACAGCATGATTAATGGCCACTCCTTCACGAAAATCTTTACACTTTAAATAGATATTTAGGATGTTTTCAGAAGAGTAGTAACAAAGGAGCATTTATCTTTGAGAAGTAATGCTGTTTACTCAAGCAGTAATGCTGAACCAGAACAGACATCTTCCAACAGATGCCAAACTTCCAAAGAATATCAAGCAGAAAAGTATAATTCTGTCATCCTAGCAAGACACACCGATATATACTTACACATTTCAGAGAAAGTATTTTATTTTAGCATTAAACATGGATTGGTATGTACAGTCTAGTGAAGCCCTGAGTGCCCATAAATTCTACTTCATAGAATTCTGAATAGACAAAAATGGTTAATGGGGTGGGAGCATATGAAGAAGTATGGATACTAACACCATAAAAGAACAGCAAAGTTAAATTTTGCAATTATGGTTGTCAATCACAACAGCACAACATGCACAGGAACATATCAATGAGAAAATTGTTCTGACGTTGTTTGTCTTCTATAATACTTAACAAATGTTGCAAGGCCTGACTTCAAAGGTGCACATTCCTTCAAACCTCAAAACATTGTTTACATTTGTTGTGTATAAAGCTGTGAGACACTGAAATATTAGGGATTAATGACTTAAACAGCTGGCCATTTGAAAAATCAACAGGTGCTGTCCTGAGGCCACGTTTGCCCCCCCAGCCGAAGAGCAGGAGAATTTTCGGGTGTGTGTTGGTGAAACCTCTGATCCAGTATGACACAGGGAATGCACACCCACCATGGGAGGATGCCAAAAAAAAACCCAGCCTTTGTTTAGCAACAAGCTGGTTTTTGAGCTGGGTGAGGCCAACAATAACCAGATCCTGTGAGGTGGGATAATGCTTTTTTTATCTTGCCAATTTCCTCCTTTACACCACTGGCTCAGGTGTAAAAGATGTAGGCACCAGTCATTCAGTGCATTCCACCCTAATCTGTCCCGAAGGAATCTCTTAAGAGCCTCAGTTACCTGGCCTTCAGGGGTGGGTTGTAGCAAAAGCTGTCAATTATTTCAAGCTCCTGTATTTAATTTGGTTACGATTTCTTTCTATTACATTAAAAATACTTCAACACTCAGTTACTCACCTCTTTTAACATGGCTTTAAATAAAGATCTCCCTGTTCCTACAGCTCCAGCTTTCTTCGAAGGCCCATAGCGCATCTCATTCCTCTTGCTCATGGTGTCTGCTTTCAGCCTGGGGGCCTCTCCCTCCATGACAAACACTAGTTTAATTCCCATTGATGTAAAGAAAGAGAACCGAAAAAATAGGTTTCTGCAATAAAGCAAAGTGTTCCAGAAACGGAACTATTTGTGAAGATTCATTTCTTCAGACATTTTCCTTATATTTTCCTGACCCTACCACTGGAAAAATCCTAGCATTGTCTTTACCTCTAATGATTTTCTCACCCAAAAACTAAACAAACCTCTGATCTATATTCCTGTCTTTGGCTGAAATTTTCATACTATGAAATTGTAGCAGCTTTACAAAATTCCCAAGAAAATACCATGTAAGGACAGAAAGGATGTTTTTCAGGTGTTAAGATGTAAGCAAACTTAAAAGGCTTAATAAAAATATATTCAATATCCAAAATCTGCCTCCAAACACATATTTATATTCATTATTTTATATCAAATATTAACCCCAAATCTATCAATACAGGTACACCTCGAGTGACTGAATGCTGTAGTATTGGACAGACTTCTAGCTACCATTACCATGTCAATTTATTATGCAAACCAGCACCACTGAGGGGTGGAGTTTTACAAGGCTGCACTAATAAATATTTGGACTACAACAGTAAAATTAACAGCAGTCATATCAAACAGCATATGCTTTAACCAGTAATTCTAGCATCAATCTTTCAAAAGTAGTAGATCAAACATTTGTAGACATCTCAGACATGGAGAGACCATTGCACTAATTTAATTTTGTACAGTTACTACTAGCAAAAAACAGTAAGCTAGTCTTTTGAGGTTAGTTCTGTTTTCACAAATGATGTAAAAAAATCAATCCATACAATAAGTTACTCAAAAATACAAACTCTCAAAAAAAAAAAAAATTCAAGTGTCTGAAAACATTTTTTTGGTAGAAATCTGTTCAACCCTTTATCTTGCTTTGGAGGTCTGGACTTCCATTCCACTGCACACAGGACACCCTACCAGACTAAAGTAATGACTTTGCTAATGCTGCCAGTTTTACAGTTAATTATCCATTTGAGTTCTTAAGTATAAAACATTTTTAGACATTATTCTCAGAAAATGCTGAGATTTTTTATTATGCTGATATTTTATATCATGCTGAATTCAACAGAAGTCACAGGAGTGTATAACACCATCTAGTAACTCAGTATTCTACACTGGTAACTAACAACAAGCACTGATGAAAATCTGTGTACGTTTTCATTATTGTTAGCACTCTTTGCAGAGAACAGTGCTTTGAAATTATGGATGTTTAGACATGCTCATTCCTTAGATAAGTCATTTAAACTAAAAATATATACATATTCCTCAAGCTTATTCAAATGCCTGAAGAATGATTTAAACATATTTAATTCAACATGGGGGTCCTACTCAGAACTAATTTCAGACCCTTTACATATGTAGCATAAGTGATAACTGAATCAAAACACCAGTCATATGAATTTCAGAGCTACTCTCAGCAGTCTATTGAATAAGTAACATATTTAAATTATACAGCTCCAAGACATTTGGCTCGAATAATTTATATGGATACCTGAGATGTGGCTTGGTAACTACTCCAACCATCTTTTTAACGGTCTGTGCTTCACAAACCCACAAACTTAAATCAACAGCAAGTGTTTTCCCTCTGAGACTGCTCATGTTGACAGGTTGTCTCACAGGCTCAAGAATTTGCCACAGGTAAGTCACTCCCATTGTTTTTGCTTCCTTGTTGTCAGAAGATAGAATTTAACTGTGGAGACCAAACAAAACAAAACAGTTTCAGGATATGACATGAAGCATTATGACTGTGAGGTTCAGAAGAGAAATATATCTGCCACTATAAGTTCTACTTTTTTGAGGCAAGAACACTTGCAAGTCCAAGTCCACTTCCAAGACTTCTAAGTGTAGTGACTCCAGTTCACAGATGGTTTATTACCAAATACCTTCTTTGGACGGAACAGCTGCATTACTATTAAGCTGAACATAAATAAAACCAAACTCAGTTAAGGAAAAGAAAAAATAAACAATGAAAAAATTATTCATTTCCAAGTCTCATGTGTCCCTTACATAAACACAATCCAAGTTTTATTAAAAAACAAACCACAGAATTCTTAAGGAAATTACTTCCTGATTTGAGGTAGGAGTCACATTAAAATTTTCTGTTAAAATAGAAGTAGCTTAAAGCTATTTGAGGAATATTTACAATGACAACAGATTTAAAATTTCCTTGCATTTCAAGATGATACAAGAGGGGTCAACACCCGGAGATTCAGAGTTGGGAAATTCAAGTTGGAGTTCAGGAAAAAAAGATGTTATTGCTGCTGTAGTTGCTCACAGATGGCATTTCTTAACATCCAGCTGCCATACTGTCCTACTTTTAATCCAGTGCTGATGGAAGCCTCTCTGAGCAGGGAATCAGCAGCGACTGGCACTGAAATTTGGGAAGAGAACTCCAATGCAGTATTAAGAAGAAGGCATTACTTTATTCTGGCCCTGGATGCCTGGGGAATAGCTCCATGCAACATGCACACCTGGCTCAGGATGGTGCACCTCTTTCTTGGCCAGGATATCCAGGATATTCATCAGAAAATTGTTCCTTTTCTGAACGTCTTACTTAGGGCACAGAGTCCAAACTCATCACTTCAGGCAATCACAGAATCCTTAAAAAGGACTGGGCCAACTTGTTACAAAGCTCTCAGTGCAACATGACGACTTCTGAATTTCCCTTCCAAACAAATGTCCTGGCATTTCTAACACTGACTGCAGAAACACACCACTGTGTGTTTCACTGTGTCCATTTTGGTACTGGACATTTTGATATAGCACTACCTGTAATGCACGCCAGTTGAAAGCATACACCCACTAGGAGGTATATCTCTTTGTCTTGTGTAACTTTACTTACACAGCTCCACTCTCCATGGCACCCCATTACCACACCCATTTTCTTCTGTTTTCATTATTCTTCTGGTTTTCACATCTTGCCAGTTTTACACAAGGCCTCTAGCACATACTCTGCTTTCCACCCTCACAATACCAATTTATTCCTGCGCTGTCTTACGGTACAAAGTTTGTCTCATGCTTATTTATTTTCTCTCTTTTCTCCCAATATTAGAATATAAAAATCAAATACAACTTGGAATGCTTTGTATTTCTTTCTGCTTTTGACACTACTGTACACTCAGATAAATTAAAATGCTCCTTTGAATAAATCAGACTAGATGACCTACCAGTGCTCAGAGAGCTGCTTAAGAAGCTAAGCCACTGTGTGGTCTCCCACATTTAACATCAGAGTCTGTCAAAACAGCAAGCCTGCCTTTGGAGGGTGCATTCTTTTATACTCTAATTCTGTTTTAAAGCAAGGCAGCTATTCAATTCCAGGTTGTTTTTAAACCAAGTTCTCATTAAGATTTACTTTCAACAGAATTTAGGTCTCTAATCCATTTCTTTAACTACTACAATGACTCAATTTCACTTTAGTTGTATGCAGACAGAGTATTGCTTTTGTTATTGTATGTCAAGCACATAAAAATTAGTTAAAAATACAAATCAAGCATACAACTACATAGTACAATTTCTTGAAGTCCAGGATAATCAGTTTCTCTGATGCACAGGGGAAGTATCCAAACCTTCCCAAAAGACAAGCACAATAATTCATCTTCAGTGAGAGAACACCTAACAAAGAAGGGAGATGTCTTTTTGGTGTTATAATTTGGTTTCCACAAGTCTGCATCAATAAAATTTCTTAAAAAACAACTGTTAGTCAGTTTCTAAACATTGTTATGGAGTGTCACATAGTACTTAATTAATGGGAAAGACAAATACACTACAAACACCCTACATCTGGTTAGATTACAAATAATAAGAAAAAAGCATAATAACTGAAAACTAAAAAAAAAAGGCCGACTTTTTCACTATAATAAAGTATAGCTATTTGAGAACTTAAGTTTTTCACATCACATTGAATCTATATCTAACGGTGAGTTATGAAAGCCTGCAAGACTGGTAGCAGTCTTTGGTTTTGTTTCAGTGTATTTCATAAAATATTTAAATTTGAATTCAGTGTACAAATAGCTCAACTAGTCTTAACATGAATGATCTGTCTACTCGGATTTCATTTAACAACTTCGTTCATCACAAGCCTCCAACCCCAGAGAGCTGGCAACTTCCAAAGAAGCAAGACTGACCTTGATTTATTTTCATATACTTAAAAATCACTGAAGATCGTTAACAGTAAACATAACCACCCCCTGCAAAACCTTCTCAATGTCTCTCTAGGCCAGAACGTGCTAAACCTATAAAGCTCTTATGTAGTGCTTTAACACTACATTCTGCTCTACTAAGTTTTTTCTTTTTTACACTGGCAGAAATGCCAGTTACTTAAAAACAACCACAGAAAGCTTTTAATGCTGAAATTCAATTAATACAGAGATACTTTGACACAAGACCAAGGTAACTTACAAAGACAACTACGCATATATTTTAAGTCTCACCCAGAGGCCTTTAAAAAGGAGGAAAAACACGGCAGAGGAAACACGAAAGCCCTGACGTTTTTAACAACTCTCCCCCTCTTTCTCTCTGCGTTACCCCAGCACAGCTTTGCCAATAAACCTGCGCACCGAGAGACAGCAGCGGCGCGCTCCAGCATTTGCAAATTCCTCCTCAAGCGCCTACGGATCTTTCCGGCGGGATGAGCACAGCCCCGAGCCCGGGATGAGCACAGCCCCGAGCCCGGGATGAGCACAGCCCCGAGCCGCTGCCGGCCAGCGAAACGCCCAGACGCGCGGGCTCCCCTCACGCAGCGTTTGAAACTCCCGCCCCGCCGCGCCCACAGGAACAGGCGTGCCCGAGCTCCCCTGGGCTGCCGAGCCTCGGCCCGGGAGCGGGCCCGCCTCCGCGGGGCCCAACGAGAACGCCCGGCCCCGTGAGGGCCCCGTGAGAGCCCCGCCGGGCCCGCTCGGAACGGCTCCAGAGCGGCGGGCGCTCCACCCCCGCACACCCGAAAATGGCGCGCGCACGGAAACGCGCCCCGCGGGGCGCGGAGCGCGCAGGCGCCGCACTCGCGGAGGCGGCTCTTCCGCCCGCTCCGGCCCGTCCCGCCCCGTCCGCCCCGCCGTGCGGGGATCGGGAGCTGTCCCAGGTAACGGGGCGCGGAGCAGGCGAGGGGCGAAGGGAGGGGAGACAAGGGACGGGTGACCCATGCCGGGCGAAGATCCTGGCGGGCGCTCTCCGGGCGCGCCGCGCTCTCTGGATAGCTGGGAGGGAGGGCGGCCTGGCGGCCGCAAGGCGGGGCAACGGCTCCCACCCGCTGCCCCCGCTGCCCCCGGCCTGGCTGCGCTTCTGTCGCAGGTGGCTCTGCGGGGCCAGTTAGCGGTCGGAGCTGGCATTTGTCAACCGCTGCCCAGCGTGGGCTCCCCGCCGGGTGTGAGCGCTCCCTCGGGTGCCCATCTCTGACGGCGGAGAGCGGGAGCGGCGGCCGCACGGGCGTTCCAGCCGCCGAGGGACCCGTGTCTCTTTTCTGGGGAGCGGGGGAGCCTTCCGGGTCGCGCGGTGTTGGGAAAAGCAACAGGTAATGGTGGATTGCTTGAGGGGATTCCTGCCCCGCTTTCGTTTTCGCTGTCCGTAGAGGAGGCAGAGCTGCCCTTTGTGCCGCAGTGCAGTTCTGGGCTCAGTACCAGAGAGAGATGGAGGTCCATCCGTAGAGGAGGCAGAGCTGCCCTTTGTGCCGCAGTGCAGTTCTGGGCTCCTCAGTACCAGAGAGAGATGGAGGTCCGGTGGAGGGCTGTGAAAGACGATTAATGGACTGAAGCATCTCTTATGAAGAGAAGACTGAGGGAGTTGGACTTGTTCAACTTCGAGAAAAGACTGCTGAGAGGGGACCTCAATCTGTATAAATCTTTAAAGGGAGTGTGTCAAGAGGATGGACCAGGCTCTCCTTGGTGATGCCGAGCAGTAAGACTGGAGGCATTGGGCAGAAACTGATGTACAGGAAGTTCCACCCGAACAGGAGGAGGAATATCTTTGCTGTGCAGGTGAACACGAACTGGAACTGATTGCCCAGAGAGGCTGTGGAGTCTCCCTTACTGCAGATACTCAGAAACTGCCTGGACACAACCCTGTGCTGTGTGCTCTGGGATGACCCTGCTTGAGCAGGGAGGTTGGACCAGTTGACCCGCTATGTTCACTGCCAGCCTTACCCATTCTGTGATTCTGGGGGTCAGGCAGCGCTTCTCCAGTGTTTGATGGGATGGTATAGGCTTCTTATGCACTGCCTGCAAGTGTGTTTGGAGAGAGGTTGTCAACATCAGACATACAGTGTAACATGGAACATCTGGCTCAGTCCCAAAATGTAGAGCACTCCACTGCTGTGTCTTGAGACTGGGATTCTGACTTCAGCCCTTTGAAATACCTCATTTTAAGTTGTTTGTTCACTGTAAACCAAGTTGTTACCCCTGCAGTTAAGGTTACTGAAATTGCGTTAGAAACCTCCTCCCCTCCACATCCCCCTCACTGGTTCTGTGACCAGTACCCGGATGTTAATTTGTAATTTAGTTGCTATTTTTGTGACTGTTAAATGTAGTGTGCTATACATCAGGTAAAGACCTCAAGTATTTTCTTCCTCTCCTTACCATATCTTGTGTTCATCCTGCCATAGGTCTGCTCTGATGTCTTTGCTTTACCTCTGTTTTGCCAGCTGGGTGAAAGGCAGGATTATAGCTGGGCTGTGTCCAGAGTGTTTAAAGTGGATGTCCCACAAGACAGATGGGATACCTTCCTACCTTATGTGGATACCAGGCCAGTGAGGGCTGCTAGAAAGTCACTCATGTGGGTTTGGTGACAGCAGGTTGGTTGTGTCAGCCCTGGATGAGCCAAGCTGTGACCAGCCAGGCAGGGAAAAGGGAAACAGTTGTGGAACTCCATAGCAGTGAATACTGTGGAAAGATAGGCCATTGATTAAGTTGAAATGGGTGAATATCAGTGGATGCAGCCTCTGCCTTCCTATCCATTGATGTGTACAGGGTAAGTACTTTCCTAACCTGTAGCTGTCCTTATCATTTTACACAGGACATTTGGGGCTTGCCTTTTTCTTTTGTGCTCTCATTATATGCATAACGACTGCTTGTTGTAATTTGTAGTGATCCTTTGATTCTTTTTATAATTGAAGCTGTCTTGCCTTTATTTGCTCCCAATTATAGATCCTATATATTATCTATAGATAATATTTTATCAATAGATAATTATAGATTACAGTTAGGTGTAAAAACCTAACTGTATACTCTTACATTCCATGATAGTGAAGTTTATTTTTATTAAATCAGTACTCTTGATTTCTCTTTCTGAATGACTGTTGGATTCTTGTTTGAATGATTAACTTGACTTTGTCATCACAAGCTTCCATTAACATAGTCTTACTTCATATTGTAATATACTAAAGTATATTTTATACCTCAGATTTTAGGTATGATACCTGATCCATTAAAAAATCCTTTTGTTAACATTTGTCAATCATGTCCTTTGTTAGCTGCTCAGTAGTCTATATTACATATTTTTAAATGTATTGATGTATTTTTTTGCCAGTTTGTTTCCAGTGTAGTATTGCATACTTTAATAACCTTCAGATAGCTTGGATCAGCTGCTTTTCCTTTGCCTTGCATAGTTATTCCCGAACTGTTGTTAAAGTTAGGGTAAGTAGTGCTGAGACTGAAAGCAATATTTTTTTCAATTAAAAACTTAATGTAGAAAATTAGGGGTGCCTTGGTGCAAGAGTTTTGGGAGCAATTAATGTAAAAAAATTCTTGTTAAAAATATCAAGATGAGATGAAGATAAAATTCAAACGTGTCATTTTCTGTGTATTTATTTTTTCTAAATGTTGGCTGTTTCTTCCTGTGCCTTTTAAAACCTTATTAATGGGTTCCTTGTGGTTGTGGTCAGTTTCTTGCTCCGTTTGGGTTTTTTGTATTCAGGGAAGGGTCTGCATCCACTGATATTTGCCATAATTTCTGAGGCTGAGTTCGCTTGTAGTTCCAGTTAAGTTTTGTTTTCATTACTAGCTCTTTAACAGTTTTGAGGCGCAGATGGTTCTGTCTTTTTCTTTCCTCATAGTTATTACATGAGATTATTTTATTCTGTTTTCTGTTCTTTTACTCTCATTTCCTTAAATGTTCAAATTGTATAGCAGTGGAACTCATAGCCTTCATCTTTAGTTTGGATATTATTAATTACAACATTTAAAGCTTATGTTTATGTCTTCATATTTGGGTGATAGATGCCAAGAGCTTGCAAGAGACTGATTCGTGGTCTGAGTAATTTGGCATGAAGGCATGTCTTTGTAGTAAGCCCAGAGTAGCGTAGCAAAAGGTGTGTAAGCCGAATCATGAAGTGTATTTGCGCCTTGATTTCCTTGTGTGTTGTATTAAACTACAGAACATAAAATGGATATGATAGTTTTGCTGTAAATACTTCATGGGCATCATCATTATAACAATAATAGTAATAATAATCATCAGTAATAAACATCATCATCATCATCCTTCTCTTGCTCCTCTAATATTTGATAAAGAAATCCCTACCATACAAAATTATTGCAGGAGTGTCAGATGACAAGTTTATTGCATTTCTGCATTTGCTTTGAATTTTGTTCATTCCACATAATGGAAAGGAATTAATACTGTTTTTCTTTATCTTTTAGATGCTGTGTCATAGAAAATTAATGAGGGAATCATAAAACATTGTATTGTATAAAGCAGTCAACAAATTTGTAGACTAGAAATGAGATAATCTCTGTAATGATGTAGGAAATGTTGATGTCTCGTGTGTCTCTGACAATAAATGCTGCTCTCTGCGGTACTTGGTAGTATAAGCTGTCTGACTCTTGTCAGTTGAACTCAGGCAGTAGTTTGTCCAGAGCATTAGGCTGACCCAAGGAAACTGCTCAGAGAAGCCTCTTGTTCTCCACAGTGACCCATGCAGACAGATCTGCATGGTGAGGTGGTTAGGGGCTCACCTAACTAATGTTAAAAGAAAGAAGTTCTTTCCTGCATTACTTTTTGGTAGAATCAAAGACTTGACGTTATTTATTATTTTGTTGTGTAAAGAGCTGCTTGCACTCAGAGGGATGAGACAGAATGAGAAGAGGAAAGAAAGACTGCTCCCCTCCATTGCAATACAAGTTCTTGTGACTGAAGCTGTACTTCAGCAGTCTTTATTTCATTGAGTTCTCTGTAGATTCTCCAAGTAACTAATCTTAAAACAGAGAGAATGTGGAGCAAGACCCGCTGAGAAGCTCTGGGAGTGCTTTAACAAGAGGGCCCCTGGGGTCCTGAGGCTGTGCACTGCACAGCTGGACCTGCCGTGCTGACCCACCCAGCTTTCTCACAGGATGTGTCACCTCCCTCCAGGAGATCATGGTAGGAACTGTTAGGCTGACCTGTATGATTCTCTCCTGGATTATCCCATCTGTTCTGAGGGACAGGGAAGTGCTTGCTTGTTGTCATTACCTGTATCCATGATGAGGAGTCTTCTGGCCTTCAAGCCCCCTGTGTGTTTAGACATGTGTTACAAACTTTGGGCATGCTGTGTCTCTAATGCTAGGCATTCTTTCCTGCACCCCACACAAAAAAAAAAAAATTAATTTATTTTTGTAAATATGCAGCCTATTCTTAGGCCATGTGTCATTCAGTGATCTTTCTATAGGAGTGAATGTTAAGTACATTTATTGCCTCGGAATTTTCCTTGAACTGGTGCTGTGCATTGAAGTTGGTTGTCATCTTTCTTACAGGGGAGCTCTAGATGAAATTCCAGCAAACAAAGCTGAGTAGGAGAGCATAATGCATTTCAGAAAAGTTTTGATGTCAGAAAACTGTGCAACTGATAGTAGTTTTAGCCTGTTTTAGATACTTAGCAGTAGCTGACTTAACTGCTGACAAATAAAAAGATTGTGTATTGCATTTGTGTAAATAGCACATTGCTTCTACTTAGGTCAGCTATGTCAACTTCTGTATTTTGTGTAGGTCTTTGGGTCTGTAGGTATGAAGAATGTAATATGTACTTTTGAGGGAATAAAAACCATGCCATAAATTTATGATTACAGAAAATACGAGATTTTTGTATGTTTTATAGCTTGTTACTTTCGCAAGATTTATTTCAGACCAGTCCTATTAGTGCTGGAAGTCTGTGCATTATTTATTGATTTGTAGAGGAAATTTACACATGTCTCCTCTATATAGAGAGAATAGTTTTCCTTTATTAGGAGCATTTTGTTTACTGTGATCATGTTATACTACCTTGTAGTGTAAGAAACAGCTCAGGAACAGTGCTATGAATCTAAGTTTTCCTTTATTCTACTTTTATGTGTTTTGCATATTAATTTTCTGGGCTTTTGTCGACAACAAATAATTAATACACTTTGCTTTTGGCCATGCAGCTGGCTTTAATCAAATCGGTATTGATGCTGCTGATTATAAACTAACTATGTTGGTTATATACTTTTTACCACTAACCTTCAATTTCATTGCTAACCAAAAACAATTCTAGCAAGCATTCCAAAGTCTAATGTACCAAGGAAAACAGAATTAAGGTTGATTTTATTTACTCAGCTTGATTAGAATAACGAAACTGTGGTTCTTTTGTTTTGATGCAACTCCTTCATAGCAAGTGTAGCCTTAAATTACTGAGGTTTCAGTTCTGGGAAAGTATTTGTTGCAATGTTTGCTGTGATTTCAATATTTGTTTTACCAAAGTAAATAATTTGGTACTTCTGTGCTGTCACCTGTGGGTATGTTGTCACCTAGAAAACTGAAACCTATAATATTTCATTACTTTCATTTTTCAGTACTCATGGGTAAGAGAAAGGAAGAAAGTGTTCTAACTCCTGGGTCCCAGAAAAGGCGGAGAAGAGAATACACAGATGTACATAGTGATGAGTCTAATGAAGAAGAAGCTTTAGAGTTCTCAGCTAGTAGCAGTGGCCCTTCACAGCTGGTAAGTATAAAAAGTCATAGAGATGAAGATATAAGAAAAGTTCTTTGCCTATTGAAATAAATGTCTTGGATGTTGGCGTCAGTAGAACAAAGATTAAAGAAACTAGGGATACTCTCTGTGGTGAGGACTTCTGCATGAGGTTATTCTTACCTTATTTCTTTTGGGTCATCTAATTATAATAGTCAATCTTAACAATATTCTGATTTAATAAAAGGAATACTACTGTAGTTGTGAAGTAAATGAAGGAAATGGATTTTGATTGAACTATGGTATGTTTCATTTATGGTTGTAGTAAAGGCAGACAAAATATTTGGAAAACCATTTATTTACTAAAAGAAATGTCAAATACTTGTTTGTTTTGCATTGCTCACACATTCAGGTATCTGAGAAAAAAAATCTAGTGTTTGAAATGCAAATTTTGATGGGAAAGAAACTTGAAAACAGGAATATTTTTTTTCTGCTTTTAGTTTAGTAGTTGAATTTTAGTCTGATAGAAGACTTAAAAAAATTATTTTTGAGATTGCAAATACTGTCCTGTGTATTTAGATTGGACATCAGGAAACAGTGGTAAGACACTGGACCAGGCTTCTCTGGGGGATTGAACCTGTCTGGGTGCCAGGTGTGCACCAAAAGCATTCTTTCACTGCCCTCCTTTCCTGGACAGGGGAGAGAAAATACAACAAAATGCTTGTGGTTGAGATAAGGGCAGGGAGAGATCACTCCCCAGTGACTGTCATGGGCAAAACAGACTCAGCCTGGGGAAATGAACTGAATTTATTTGCAGTCAAATCAGTATTTGAGAGATAATAAGAAATGAACTCAAACCTTAAAACACCTTCCCTCCGCCCATCCTTGGTTCCTCTTCACTCCCAGTTTTCTTCTCCCCCAACCCAACAGCACAGGGAATGGGGGCTTTGTTCAGTTCATTACATGTTGTCTCTGCCACTCGTTCCTCTTCAGAGGGAGGACTCACACTCATTCTGTGCTCCAGTGTGGATCCCTTCCACAGGATGCAGTCCCTCAGGAACAGCCTGCTCCTCTGTGGGTCCCCCATGGGCTCTCAAGTCCTACCAGCAAACCTCCTCCAGTGTAGACTTCCCATAGAGTCACAGCCTCCTTTGGGAATCCACCTGCTCCTGCACAGGGCTCTCCATGGGCTGCAGGTGGATCTCTGCTCTGATGCCTGGAGGACCTCCTGCCCCTCCTTGGTGTCAGCAGAGCTGTTCATCTCGCATATTCTCACTCCTCTTCTCTGGCTGCAGTTGCTGCAATTGCAATTTCCCTTTCCTGACTCTTGGCCTGGAGGCACTGCCTCTGTTGCTGATGGGCTCAGCCTTGGCCAGCCGTGGGTCTGTCTTGGGGCTGGCTGGGGAGTGGCACTGGCTCTGTCAGACATGGGAAAGCTTCTGGCAGGTTCTCACAGAATCCACCCCTGTAGCTTCCTGCCCCTGCTACCACAACTCAAAGCCAGTGCAGCTTCCTAGAGAGGTGGTTGGTGCCCCAAGCCTGTCAGTATTTACAAGACATTTAGACAATGCCCTTAATAACATGCTTTAATTTGGTCAGCCAACTATTGTGGATCTGTTGTTTTAATATTTTATGTTGTATTGATGGTATGTTAGTAATAGGGAGAACTGAAAGTTACTGTGTGTGAGGGATCAGCTTTGGTAACTTTTTGTTTTAGTAAAAAGATGCTCTATAGCAAGCGACTTTACACAGTGTCGTGAAACCCTTCTGTTTCCTTGTGGCTTGTAACAACCAATGTTTTATATCATACTGTCATTTTAATTCTCATTGTGTTTAAAATATATAAACTTAATCTCATTAAAATGCATATATAACTTGAGTTTTAATTGTTCATTCTTTAGCCTGACGGTGAGGTTGGGATAATTGAAAGTATCCAGCTGAAGAACTTCATGTGCCATTCAAATCTGGGGCCTTTTCAGTTTGGATCAAATCTTAATTTTGTTGTTGGAACCAATGGAAGTAAGTATTAATTGCCTAGCATCTTTGTCAAAGAATGCTTCTGTTAATAATGTAGAGAATGTAGTTTTTTATTTGAAAAAGAATTGCTGGCCACCTTTTAGGTGTAGACAAGGATTCCCTTTTGAAATGAGGTACCACACAGGTCTATCCCAGTAGTTAAAGGCTGGTGAATTAGGTCTTAAAATTGGAGATTTTTGCAAAAGATAATGTGAATATAAATATTTTAATAGCTAAATAATGCATAAATTTTTATTTTAACTAAATGTACTTATATGTTTATTATTAAATGCACTACAATTATCCAAGTGCCTGCAGCGCCCATCACTGAGTTTGGAGGAACCACAGTGGTTGTAATAGGGCGTTGAAATACTGCTGATAGGTGCATAATGCTAAACTAAATCTGAAGCACATTCAGCAACATCCTGCTTCCTGATGGTTTGAGCTTCCTGAGGACATCCCAAATTTTGAGAAGCAGTTGTAGTTAGCCTGGAGAAGGAGGAGAAGGTGTGTCCGCTGTGGGCTGGCTCTGGGAGGAGGGAGGCTGGGCGGTGTAGTTGTGAACGTTTGCCGCTAGGTGGCTCCCGCAGCCCGGCGTGAGGGCGTGCCGAGCGCGCGGGCCGGCGAGTTTCGCTGCCGGCGGGTCCGTCATGTCATAGCATGTCATTTATCAGATCTTAACATATCTTATCAGCCACATTGCAGAGTACTTCAAAATTATAGCCTTAGCCCAGGCCCCAAAGGTGGTAAACACCAAAGTAGGGAGTGCGTGCTATGAGGAAGGTGTTACATAATGCAGCTCTGAGAACCAACACAACAGCTCTGAGAGCAAATAAATCAGCAGTGTGACCAGCAGCTATTAAGCTAGTATCATGAATGCTTAAAACAAATTTGTTTTAACATACTCTGGTCAGTTATATCAACCCTTTGAGCCCCACACTGGGTGCTAGAAAGGAGTGTTGTCATTAAATCCCTTTTAGCCACTAAGTATCATGCAGCCACTCACTTCCCCATGTCCCCCAGTGGGATAGGAAGGCAAATTGGAAAAAGGTAAAACCTGTGGTTTGGGATAAGAACGGCTTAATAATTGAAATAAAATAAAATATAATAGTTACTGTAATGAAAATCAGAAAGAAAGAGAGGAATAAAACTCAAGAGCAACAAGTTAGCATAATGTAGTTGCTCACAACCAGCCCATCCATGAGCAGCAGTCAGTGGCTCCTGGACAGCATCCCCCAGTTTATGCACTGGGCATGACGTTCTATTGTATGGAATATCTCTTTGGCTAGTTCAGGTCAGTTCTCTTGGCCAAGCTCCCTCCTGCCTTCTTGTGCACCTCTTCTGTGGCAGAGTATGAGACCCTGAAGAGTTCTCAACTTTGCTACTTAGCAACAACCAAAACATGGGCATGTTATCAGCATTATTGTCATGCTGAACCCAAAAAACCACACCCTACAAGCTACTAGGCAGAAAAGGAGCTCTGTCCCAGCTAACCCAGGACATAGAAACTATTATAGGAAGTGATACCTATTTATACAATCTTGTTTCTTTTGGAGAAAGAATTAAAAAAATAAACATAAATTTTGAAAGAGAGCTTAAAACCTTTCAGATAGTTAGATAAATGGTAATATGTGTTTGATTTCTTTCATTGTATGCATGTTTTCAGTATGCTTTTAAGAAAGGGGAGATTCCTTTTGACTTACGACATGTTGAATGCAAATTGCTAAATAGAAGTAACATAAGTTTGGGTCAGCATGTTGGGTTTTTTTAGGGAGAACTTTGAAAATGCCAGATAGTTTACTAGCATTATTGTTATTTTATATGTTCAGTTGGGACAGAAGTTGGACTTCTAATGCATGACTATATAACAAGTCAAAAACTGTAATATGGGTGGAGTACAAATTGTAATATCTTCTCTTTTAAACAAGTTCAATGCTTCAATTACAGGTGGAAAAAGTTCTGTATTAACAGCACTAATTGTTGGACTTGGTGGAAAAGCCACTGCAACAAACAGAGGTTCCTCATTAAAAATGTTTATTCAAAAAGGAGAGACGTAAGTTAAACTTTAATCTACAAGTTACGTTTGTAGTTTGGTGATTGTCATTGAGGTTAGCTTACGAGTTTTCTGTTTATGCTAATTTTCGGCATCTTCTTGTGGGATCCAACAGACTCAAATAAAAAGCATAACGCTGAGGAGACCATATTTAAACAACACGTTGCCTTCGCAAAAAAAACCCAAACCCTGAAAGCAAAAAGCTTCAGAAGTTTTACCACTAGTCTATAATTATTCCTGAATGTTGTATTTTGAAACCAACTGGAAATTAAACTCCAAACAGCTGATCTCTGTCCCCTCCAGTGAGAGAGGAATAAAGGTGGAGATTACGTGTTGAAATAAAAATGTGCTGAAAAAAGCCATCAACGAGATAAGGAAAACAAACACTGACAGCAACAATACTAATAACAAGTGTGTAAAAGAGGGTGATTCCAAGCAAAAATGCTCCTTGAGTCTGACGCAAGGCAACTGCACCACAGCCCGAGTCAGACATCTCCTGAGACAAAGAAGAAAATGGCAAATGGAAGTGTCCATGCCCGTGTTGTGAAAAAAAAGGAGCAACGGTGGACAAATCACCTGCACCCACACTGCCTCCCCAAGCCCAAGACAAGAAAAACAATGATGCACCAACCCCGTGGTAGGACTGGAGCCACCCCACTGCTTCACTTGCCTTCCACTTTCCCTGGAATAAAAGAACACAATGGTGGCAGTTCCACTTCGTGTTCTCCTTCTTTTCCAGCTGAAGCTGTGGCCCCAGGGATGATGTGTGGGGCGTAGAATAGCAACACTCATATGACTCCAGGCTCTGCCCCTCACAGTAATGGCAAGAAAATTACCTCTGTCCTACCTGAAACTGGGACGCTGAACTAACGAACATAGTGGTGTGTTCTCTGTATTTCCTGCTCTCGTGTATTACTTCCACTCTGTAATTGAATATCCTACAGAAAAATGGAGTCCACTAGAAAAATTCATAGGTGCCTAGTTATCATTGTTTTGCAAGCAGTGAGGTTAATTATCTTTCATTCTTTTGATGATGTGAATGAATACAAAGACCTTGACTTACTGGATATTTGAACATGTAAGAAGTGCATTCATGTCTGCTGTGAGAGTGGGGATAATGTGTTTAGGGAAACCAATAAAAAGATAGGAGGTTTATGAGTTTACATTTACATGAAGCTGTTATTTGGAGTCTGATATCCCAGTCCTTTGCTTTTAGAGGTGCTTAAGAGTAAAATTGTTGGTAGTACTTGCCTTATATGTACTAAGTTAATGTATCAGCACTCGCTTGAGAAACAGGAAGTAGGAATTTGGAACTGAAATCACATGTCATCTTTTCTAGAAGAATGGCTTTAGCATTCTGCTATATATTACTTTGGTTAGGCTGTAGAAGCCAGACAACTGTTTTATACAGAAGTCAGTTTGAAAAAAGGAGAGGTACCAAAAAGCAGCATGCTTCTGTGATGTAAAATGAGGGCGGGCACTCAGATGAGAAGGGAAGATAGAGGAAATCTTCTCTCACAAATATTTGCTTTTGGCTCATTATTTAGGTGAAGCATAGGAGGTGCAAGCAGACAGTGTATGGCAGCAGTGTGTCTGTCATGGTCATGGAGAAGAGGGCTGGAGTTTCTGGCAGTGTTTGATTCCATACCACCCACGTCATGGCAGGGCTGTGGTGTCAGCACGAGGAAGCTGGGGCCAAAAGCAGCTTTTGCTTTTCCCAGGTTCAAGGGAGGGGGTGTGTAGGTGTCAGGGTCAGCCCAGCAGACTTTGCTCGTCTCTGCCACTGGCTGTCTGTCTTGGTTTAGAGACTGATTTAGGAGAAAACACTCTGTAATGAGTGTCTCCTCTGAAGAGAATGGCTTCAGTAATCCCTTTTGCCAATGACAAAATGAATACCAGTGGGTGAAAGTAAAAAAAGCCTGTTTATTAACTAACAAAGTGCCTGCATCACGTGAAAAAAAACTGAATAAATGCTAGATATTGAACTTTCAGAACCTTACCTCCCCACCCACACCACAACAAAAAAACCTCAGAATGCCAGGGGAGGAAATAAACAGGCTGGCTGTGTGGCAAAGGGGGGACAAAATGGTGGCTGGCTTTTATCTCAGGGAAGAGGAAAAAGTTCATACAGTGGCTTGGGCAAAACAGATGGAGCCTGTTGGCTGGCATTGGTCCCCTCCTCACAGCAGATGAAGCTGATGGATTTTGGTGTCCTTTCTCGTGTTGGTTCATCTTTGCCCATGGTTTCAGGCTGGCTGGAGTGGCCCCCACTGCTGGTCTGGCAATTATCTGATCTTGGACCAAAACCAAGCTGAAACAGTTCAAGAAAAACCAAGAAAACAACTGCAGAAGGATTGCTGCTGTCGTCCAGGGGAAAGGTGGGGTGGGGGAGAAAAAGGAAACTTCTTGCTTAGCTACTAAGAAATGGAGTTAGCTAAGCAACAAAGCAACTGCCACTCTCCGCAGCACCCAGCACGCTGGGGAGTGAGTCTTGAACACGAAGTCCGCACAGGAGCCCCCAAAGGCTTGTGCCCCTCTTCTGGACCCACCTTAAAGCCACAACAGCCATTTCTGGACATAAAGCAGACAATCAGGAATAGAGCATCATCATAAAGTCACCCCAAGACAGGGCCCCTTTCCCCTTCCTCCGAGCCATGGCTTTTCTGGTTTGGTGCTGAAAGACAGCGCTGGCAAGCCCAAGATGCCACTCAGAGAAAAAGAAAAGGGAGGGAACAGCAGCTGCACAGAGCAGAGCCCAGCCAAGCTGTGTGGAGCCCCAGCCACAGCCACCATGGCCACAGCAGTGCATCACTGCCACTGCCAGAGCCACCGAGCGCTCCCGTCCTGCTTGTGCGCAGTCAGGCCCAGGAAAAGGGTCCTCTGACCTGATTCAGAGTCCTGTGAGATCCCACTAGGTTTTGTCTTGTCCCTGTTTTCCCATTGTTTTCAGCTGGGGAAGGGGAAAGTTAAACCATGAGCATCACTGGCATAGTGCCTTTGTTCTGTCATACACTCCATGGCCCAGCGCAAGGCCAGCTGCCATTCTGCCTTTGTCTGAGAAGCTATGCCAGGTGCTTCTTGGGGAAGCATTTTTGTTTAGTGGTGAATACCCTTCTGTGGGTAAAACACTCACTGTTTTGTACAGTCTTACTAATACTGTTGTGATTTTGAGGTTTTGCAGTAAATTGTGATTCTGTATTAAAATCTCTCCTATTGTTTCCTCCACTGTGGGAAGGGGGTCGAGGAAAGGGGACAGCTTGTATGGGTTTACTTTTCCCTTTACTTTTACTCTACTGCTGGGTACTGCTTTTCCCTTTACCTTTACTTTACTGCTGGGTTTTAAACCAGCAATGCATCTAATGCTGTTATGGCTCAAACCAAATAAATACTTGTTTTTCTGATTGGTACTGTGACTGACTTGCAGCTGTGACCTGTAGGATACATGACAATTTGTATGGAAAATTAAAATGTTCTGATTTTTTTGTTGTTTTTAGATTTGAAATTAATTTCAGGGTTATTTTAATTATTTTTTAATATTTTTTTTAGTTCTGCAGATATTTCCATAACTTTACGAAACCAAGGAAGAGATGCATTTAAACCAGAATTGTATGGTACCTCTATTATTGTGAATCAGCGCATTAATCAGGATGGAAGCAGAACTTGCAAACTGAAAAGCAAAGCTGGTTGGTGGTAGTTTGCTTTGTTCTCAGTCTTAGAAGTTCTCTAAACTTGTTCATGGCTTTCAATGCCTTGATGTTAGTAAAGGATGATGTTTCACTTTTCATAAAAGTACTCAAGGATTATGACAATGTCCATTTTTTTTTTTGTTTTTAGCCCAAACTAAGAATATTTTAGTATGTCAAAAGCAATTATGTATTTATTGATATGTATTACTTGGTATGTCAGGTGTTACATTATGTATTTGTTTTTACAAAAATCTGCTTGTGGGATGAGGCTGAACATAGTTTTTAGTCTTTTTTGAGGTTTTATTGAATTTGCTGATTTATCTAAATTCTGTCACAGAGGGTTTATGAGGCAAAGAAGGACTTCAGTTAGAAGTCTTTCTGTGCAAATTAAAATATATTGAAATAATAATAATAGTAAAAACAACTCCTAACCAATGTTTCTAATTTAGGGCTAGGTCTCTGTTACAAAAAGATGGCTTTCATTTTTTACATTTTCTACAATGAAGAAAATACTCTGGGGCATTGTACCTATTGATATTTTTCCTTTGTTTTTTTACCACTAGGGACCATAATTTCTTCAAAGAAAGAGGAACTCATAGGAATACTGGATCACTTTAATATACAGGTAGTTGTTGTAGTGTTTAAATTCTGTGCAATTTAAGAAGACTTTGGTATGCAATACTACAGTTCTTCAATTAAAAAGAAATGTACCATTCCTTAAAGGAGAGAGTTCCACCTCTTCCATATCATTTAAAGATCAAATTCATCAGCAAAAGGAAAATTGAAATATATGCCTCATGCAATGCAGAATAGGATTCTGTCCCAGACAGATAAGTATTTGCTGTCATCTGTGAGCTCTGATTCATGTGTCCTGTTGATGAAAGTCTTGACATATGTAGGTTTCTTTTGTATCTGGAGAGGTTTTTTCTGCTGATTATTTCAGTTCTTGCTGTTTCAGAAATTGTGGTTTTTCTGCCTAATTGATTAATAAAAGATCAGGTAGTGCATATGAAGTTTAAAATATTCAACTTACTTAGAATTTCAAATAATGGAAATTTCAGTTAGTATGTATTGATTTTATTTTGTCTGTAAGAATATATGAGTCAATTCACTGCATTTATTGCAATACTTTGACACAACAAGAATTTCTAATGCTGATTTTGTTAAATAAATGGAACTTACAGGTCCTATTTTTATAGAAGTCACGTATCCTCTTGGAAGCAGTTCCTTAGTTGTCCTTGCTGTGGCTCTATTTTGTATTTGATATAGTTGGGTTTTTTAATTTTCTGTTTGTTATTGGTTTATTTTGTTATGTTTTGGTTTTTTTGAAGATGTGAGAGTATTAGCAAGCTTGATTTCACAGCATTAGCTTAGTAATAAGTTGCAAGACTGAAACAGGGTTCTCACTTTCATGGATTTTCAGTTACATGGTAACTTGTAATTAAAATAAAAATTATTTATTTTTGCAGGTAGATAATCCTGTGTCTGTTTTAACTCAAGAGATGAGTAAACAGTTTTTACAGACTAAAAATGAAGGGGACAAGTACAAGGTAAGAAAAAAATTTAGCATAGTTGTAAAACATTAAAATGCCAATTGCAAATTTTTAGAGCATTTGGAAAAAAAAAATTCCTTAATTTTAATAACCTGTTTTGGGCTAACTAGGTAAGTAGCTAAATACCACACAACCACTCACTCACTTCCCTTCTATGCTACCCCCAGGCTTGGGCTGGGGGAATGGGAAGTGAAGAGTGAAAGTAAGAAAAAAGAGGGATGAGATAAAATTTGTGTAATAACTGAAGTGAAAGCTGCAAGGAGAGAGAAAGAAAGTAAAACAAAATAAGAGATGCAAAGGGAATCACTCCTGTTGGTAGACTGAGGCCCAACCAGTGCCCAAGCAGAAGATGGCTAATCCCCCTAAGCCCTCTCTTATCTGTATTTATTGTGGAGCATGACTGTGCTGGTTTGGGCTGGGTTAGAGTTAATTTTCTTCATGGCAGCTTGTATAGGGCTACTTTGTGGATTTGTGCTGAAAACAGTGTTGATAATGGGAAAATGTTTTCCTTATTGCTGTTTTTGTAACTGCTGAGCAGGCCTTACACAGAGTCAAGGCTTTTTCTTCTTCTTTTTCCACCCCACCAGCAAGGAGGCTGGGGGTGCACGAGGCTTTGGGAGGGGTCACATCCAGGACAGATGACCCCAGCTGACAAAAGGGATATCCCAGACCATATGGCCATATCATGCTCAGCATATAGAGCTGGGGGAAGAAGAAGGAATTGGGGGATGTTTTGAATGATGCATTTGTCTTCCCAAGTCACCGTTAGGCATGATGGAGCCCTGCTTTCCCGGGGATGGCTGAACACCTGCCTGCCCTGGGAAGTGATGAATGAATTTCTTGTTTGGCTTGGCTTGCTTGTGCAGCTTTTGCTGTATTAAACTAATTTTATCTCAGCCCATGTATTCTTGCTTTTACTTTTCTGATTCTCTATCACGCCCCAGGGGAAAGTGAGTAAGTGGCTTGGGCTAAACCATGACAATGGCATTTTCTGAGGTGGCATATCTCGTTGGCTGCTTGATCATTTGCCTGGTTGTATACCTCCCCAGCTTCTTGCACACCTGAGGGTGTCTATTCACTGAGAGGGCAGAGGGAGAAAAAGGAGGCTTCAGTGCAACAGCTAAAATATGACTGTGTGTAGTCAGTATTTATTTGATCACACATCTAAAATAAAACAACATTTTATTTAACTCCATCCCAACCAGAGCCAGTACACTATCTGATTGCACCAATCATCCACTTTACAAAAACAATTTTTTTGAAGATTCTTCTCTCTACAGAGATAGATAAACTTAAATTTTATGGCTCTGCTGAGTTAGTTCATTATTCAGAAGTACCCCTACCGGAAATGAGTGTTTTGAGTCGCCCAAAGAACCACTGGCACAGGTATCAGCAAAAGCAGGTTTAATATTAAAGTGAAAGTGTGGCTAGGTTAGTTGGCAAGGTTCACTCCCCCACTTACATAGATGCACAAGAGGAAAATTGGGCTAAAACCTGAAACCAATCAATCTAAAACCAAAATCAACTTAAAATGATCTTTGAGGAGGTTGGAATGGGAAAAAGGTATGGATAAAAAGGAATCAGGGAGACCTTCCCATTAAGGTTCAGAATGGATCCCCTTGCCAAGCCTAGCTCTGGACTTGACCACAGTTTAGGTCTAAAGGTTATGACAGTGCATTAATTTAACAGTGCTTAATTAGTAGCCTGCTTTAAACAATTTGACAGAAGATTCTTAGGGAGTTTACAATAGCACAATTGGAACTCACTCATAAGTCTCATTTTCTTACTAATCTCAGTACTTAAGAATCTTAAGAAACATTCATAATACAGTTGCTACATCAGATGCACACTTGTATGTAAACAAACCTAAAGATTATGTGCAAGTTGTATACCTGTGAAAAATTCCCCTGCACCTCAGAGAAGTACTCATGTCAAATGACTTTGGATCTTCTCAGTAGGTGAAGGGTTGATCCCTGAGGGGTGGGTGTTTCAGCCCAGGCTCTGTCAGCTTCTGGCAGCAGTCCCCAAGTAAACTTGAGAGCTCTCTGGCTCACAGTGGTGTCTCACTCAGAGGGAGATGCTGCCACAGCCCACTGTGGTCTGGGACAGTTCAGTGGATCTCACTTGGGACCATTGTTTATAGGGTCACAAGAAGGTAGGCTTTAGTCATAGGAATTTTTCACCCTGACCACAATTGAAGTCAGTAACTTTCTTTGAAAATTCAGTAACAAAAATATTGTTCTATTTGGGTTTTTAGTCAGGCAAGAAAAAGAAGTTTCAAAGGCTCTTCATTTAGAAAGAGGAGCTTGTCAGACAATAAAAGTTCCTGGGAGCAGAGAGTGTTTCTGATAAACTCAAGAGGAGCTGAGCCCAGCTTCTGTTCATCAAAGCTGGGGCTAACAAACATTTCAAGTACCACATTGCAGCCCAAGGAGGGGGTGGAAGTTGTACCACCACAACCTGACCAGTTTCCTGACCAGTTTTTTCACTTTGGATATCATTCAGCATGCGGGGTTGTTGGGATGAATGGTTATTCTGTCATAATTATTGAAGGTCCACTTAGATAAGGTACTGATCTCATATCTGCGTCTTTTTATTCCTTTTTAGTTTTTTATGAAGGCAACTCAGCTGGAACAAATGAAAGAAGATTATTCATTTATTGGGAAAACAAAAAAAAATACCCGTGTTCAGATAGAACAAGGGGAAGAGGTATGTAAAAGTTAAAGTAATTATTAGGACACATCTGAGCAGTGAAGGAAGTACAGGAGTTAAACTGCATAGTTTGGTTTTATTAGGTCTCAGTGACATTAAATTTCAAAAACCCAAATCTTTCCAAAATTTCATATTATATCACAGCTTTTTGCAGTCATGATTGAACCCCTATTTTCTTTTTTAAGCGTCTTGAAGAACTTAAGCAGCTTTATTTGGAAAAGAAGGAAATTTTCAAAAGCATCGCATTTGTGAATGACATGCAAAGTCGTCTCAAAGATTTGAAACATCAAATGGCGTGGGCAGTGGTAAATGTCTTGCTAAAATATGTTTGTTCATGTGAAATGTGCTTCATTCCCAGTCTTCTGTGCATATGCTAATATAGGCTTCTTTAGGTGAGTGAGATGGAAAAAGAAGTAGAGCTGCTCAAAGAAGGCGTCGAAGCTGAAGAAGGAAATACAGAGCTCCTTCAGAAGGTAGAAGAATGCCAGGTAGGTAGATGGTCTAAACCATATATCACTCTAGCTGTAGTCACCCCCCAAGTCAGAGATCTGTTGTGAAGGTTTTTGTGGGTGTCATTGCCTTTAGAAAAGAGCAATGATTTCAGGAGACATTTGGAAGTTTTGGGATGGTTCTTAAGACTTCTGTACCTAGCAAGAAAGTATTTCATCATACATTCTGATTTGCATATGAAACACTTTTTGTGCAGAGACACAGGCATCATTATTTTGAATCTAGAGTCATAGAAGAGTTTGGGTGGGAAGGGACCTTAAAGATAATCCAGTTCCAACCCCTCTGCCATGGGCAGGGACACCTTCCAATGGATCAGGCTGCTCAAAGCCCTATCCTACCTGGCACTGAACACTTCCAGGTATGGGGCATCCACAGCTTCTCTGGGCAGCCTGTGACATTGCCTCACCACCGCCACAGTAAAGAATTAACTCCATATATCTAACCTAAATTTCCCCTCTTTCTGTTTAAACCCATTATTCCTTGTCATATCCATACAGATAATGAAGAGTCCCTCTCCAGCTTCCTTCACCCCCTTTCAGATACCAAAAGGCTGCTGTGAGGTCTTCATGCAACCTCCCCTTCTCCAGGCTGAACAGCCCCAAAACTTTTCAGTCTATTAAAACTCCTCCAAACTTTCTTTGTTAGAACTTATTTTTCTTTTTTAAAAAAATGTGGTTGTGGGTTTTTCTCTTTCTTTTAAAAAGTACATGTTTCACAATTTCACATTTTTGTCTTATGGTCAGCATGTCTATGTGGCGATGAAGGAACATTGTCTAGACACTGGTTTCATTTCTTTTGGTGTCATGGTACTTGACCTTATTAAAAGTCCTGTGTTTGAGTAAACCTTGAGATAGAAAAAAAGGTTGCTGTCTGTGTCACAGATTTGGTAGTCTCTTGATTTCCCAAGAATGAACATTTATGAGTTTTCATCTTAGCATATCCATGGTGGCAATATCTTGCTCTTTTTTTTTTAAACCCAATAGAACTCAAACAATTTAAATGTGTCTGATGGATTCTTTTAAGAGATATTTGTCTTGTAACATTAAGAGGTTTTGAAGAAAATCTTGTTTCATTACTACTTGTTTTGTTTTTTCACCAAAGGTAAAAGTGAATGAAGCAGAAAAAAAGTACAAAGCAATACAAGACAAATTGATAACAGTAAGTGAAGAAGCACAAGCCCTTCATCCTCAGTGTATTTCTTTGAAGGCAGAAGTGCAGGCAAAAAGAAAAACAGTCAATGAAACTGAGGTAGGCAAAAAAAACCCTTTCAAAATTCATACCAATTTAAAGCTATAAACTTGTCCATGCTCTGCCCATCTGTAATTGGCTTCTCAAGTCCATGGTGAGTTAAGAACAGATGCAATTTCCTGCCTGACTGGCAAGTAGTGTCTGTTCAGGAGCCCTGGCGTTGATGCCTTTACATAGTTACTGAACAATGCTAAACTTAGGTCAAAATAAATAAATAGATGTAATTTTTGAAAATCAAGTTATGTTTGTCTGGTTTGGTGCAGTTCAGTATATATCAGTATATATAATTTCCACAAGAACTGTAGTTCTTGTGGAAATTATTTCTTCTATTTCTTAAACCACTGTATTCTATTTCCTTGATAGATTGTTTATAATCGTTCCAAAACAGAGTTAAAACGTCTGGAAAAAGACCGTGAACAGCTACATAAACGAATTGAAGAACTGAAAAGCTGGTAAATACAGATACAGTGATTTTGGTGTATGTTTATTAAGATAGGTGGAAAAGAAGTGAGCTTTTCTGGTTACTGAGAAAACCTGCAGTAATCAAAAATATTTATTTAGTCTTTGGCAGGGTCCACTTAAATGCCTGAATATTTCTGATCATGCTTCTTTACATACCAAAATTATGACTAGAATGTCAAAAGAAGAGGCAATTGGGTGGCAAAAGTGGCTTTTCTTTGTTTGAGGTTTTTTGTTTGAGGGTTGTTTTGTTTTGTTTTGTTTTTGGTGATAATATATATTCTTTACCTTCCATGATAGTGCAAAACAAATATGTCTTAAACTAAATGCAATAGGAATGTAACTGGGGGGAGTTACATGAGATTAGAATTTTTAAAAAAAATTAAATTGGCATTATTGCTATGTATATCGTGCAACTTAACAGAATCTTAAATGTAACTGATGAGTAAATCTTCTCTACGCTACAAGTAATGAAATTCATGTCACTTGTAAATCATCAGTATGGTTTTAAAATATGGACGTATGTTCTTTTCTAGTGCTAATCAGGATTCAGAGCCTGAGAAATTGGAAAGACAAGGGAGAATTGCATACTTAAGGGAACAGTTAAAAGCATTCCATGATGAAGAAGTAATGATTGGTCAGCAGTTGGATCAGTTTCAGCAGGCTATATCTAAGTGTAGGGAAGAACATTCTAGACTCAGGTATGTTATGCTTTTTAAAATGTAATTGTTTACCTCTGTTTCAAGTTAGAGAGAATCCCTTCTTTATGTATCCCTTCTAATGTACCTGGGATCCTTGAGGTGTTAAGGCTCCAGTTTATTTTTCACATTATAAGATAATAGATAAACTTAGGAGTAATTACTGCTTCTGTAGTTAAGGCAGATTCACAGAGGCCCTGAGGCAAAGTGGTTCAAATATGAATTTAGTCCATATCCAAGATAAAAAAAACAAAGCACTCTAGCTTTGATTTGGAAACCTGAACTTGAACAATGATTACTGAAGGGGATTATGGCAATGTCAGTCATTGTCTTAAAGGATTTGAGAGTTGTTCCTTATTGCACCTGGTGTATTAATTTAAATGCCTCTTACCAGTTATTATAACCAATGCTTACTGTGTGTTTTGTTGGAGATCTTTGAAGACAGTGAAATTGAAACAGATAATTAGAAATAAAATAAATTTATTATAATTTGTTAGAAATAAAAAAGTCTTGCAGAACTGTTGCAAAATAGTAATTTTCTCTCTTGCTTTCTTTTTCTCATGTTTCTTGAAACTATAAAAACCTTATTGCATGTGTGTACCTAGCTTTACATTGAACAACTGATACCTTGATACACAATTCTCTTCGTAATTGAAAAACAAGGCTTTGTAATTATTTTAGTGCACTTTAGGCTCTATAACTACTGAAAAAAAATATGTTATCTTAGGAGAGAACGCAGTGAAGTGCAACAAGCACTAGATGCCCAGCAGAAACAGCTGAGAGATCTGAAAGATAGTAAAACAAACACTTTGAAAAGATTTGGACCACATGTACCAGCATTTCTTGAAGCAGTTGAAGTAGCCTATAATCAAGGACACTTTAGAAAGAAACCTCTTGGACCTTTAGGTAAGAATAATTTGTGAAACATGTTTTCTCATGAGATATTTTTGTATGGCTGCTAATGTAAGTAGTGGTCTTTTAGAAAACTTTGTTCTTTAAGGAACTTCAGATACATCTTTTTCTTCTGTACTTCCTGGACTAAAGGTTTTACCCTGGTAGGTTATCTTTTGTTTCTGTTACGCACTCACTAACATCTCCTGGCTTTCCTCTTTTTCCAGCAATTTTTGTTGAGGTATTTTACAATGGTAAACTTTCAGTGCATCCCTCCAACTCCCCCACACCCTCAAGGCATCAGAGAACTGTGCTTTGACTGCTTGTTCCTCAGTGGATAGCACTGTCCAGACCTTGGACAGATTTTGTTCAAAATGTCCAGTGGCTGACTTGTGGGTTTCTCAAACTTGAGATGTTTTGCATGGAACAGGTCAGACAGATCCAAATGAGATTTTCTTGGGAAGCTGGCTTTTTTTTGTCTTCTGTCCAGCTCTGACAGTGCCTGTTATTTTCAGTTTGTGAAAGGGAGGAAAGGTTTCAGCATATTCTGGATGTAAAGTACATGGCATTTACTGCAGGGTAAGAATGTGTGCTACTGAAGACAGGTGATATACTGGAAATCTTGATGTTTGTTTAATTTGCAGTATAGTTGTTCCACTGCCTTCATCCTTAAAGTATTAAATTGTTGATAAGCTGTCTTTGCCTTGATACATTTCTGCTAAGCTGTCATAAAATTGGTACCCTAATGGAAAAAAATACAGGCCTCCAACTATGTGTAGGTGTCTCTAGGCACAGAAATTATATATTTGTGTTCTCAGGTCTGTTGTAGAGTCTTTCAACTCAACTTCTGACTCAAGTCAACCTCTTAATTTTTTTTCTACCTATAAGAAAAGTTTATTTTGGACTCTTAAAAAACCCTGCAATACAACAAAACGAGAACCTTGAGTGGTAAAAATGCTCTACTGAATGTTTTCTCATGGAACACAGCACCTAAAGCCTTGCTTCTTATGTTTATTTAGGTGCTTTGATTCATCCAAAAGATCCTGAACTGATCTTGGCTATCGAGTCCTGTTTAAAAGGCCTTCTTCAGGCATTTTGCTGTGATAATCATAGTGATGAAAGAGCGCTTCAGTTACTGATGTCAAAATATTATGCACATGGACATAGACCTCAAATAATTGTAAACAAATTTCAGAATAGAATTTATGATACTAGTCAGAGGTAAGTGTGTTTTGAATTTTATTGCTTAGCCTTGATGGTTGAAAAAAGAACTATTTTTATTTTTTTTTTTTTAAGAATCTCATATGAGTTTCATGAATGGTGGGTTTTTTTTCTTTTCTTCAGAGCTGTTCATCATCCGGAATTCCCATCAGTTCTGACAGCATTGGAAATAGACAATCCGGTGGTTGCCAATTGTTTGATTGATATGAGGGGTATAGAAACAGTCCTGCTGATTAAAGTAAGGCTTTATGCTCCCTGTTGATCTTTAAAGAAATGTGTGGAGCATTTGTGATGTCTTCACTGGTAGTGTCTTTAATGGATAAGGAGGTAGAGGAAGTTTTGCTCCCCTCTCTGCCCCATATGTTTCAGGACCTTCCCTGTTTGTTTCTGGGTTGTTTGCCACTACCTTTCCAGGCCTCTAAGTGGTGTAGTTTCCCAGTCTAAATAGTCCATGTGTGTAATCAGCCTCCTGACTGCTGGCTCTGTCTCATGTCTCTCAGTTACTTGGTGGGTTCAGGATGTGCTGCTTTTTGGGTAGTTCAGGAGTTACCAACATTTCCAAGCTGCCCCTACCAGTTGTACCTAGAAGCTGGTAGCTAAGTTTTCTGGCACTGTCTGAGTTCTGATCTTAATTGATTTTTGGTTTTCTGTTAGCACTGGATACCAGCTCCTGCAGATAAGATTACAGATAAAATGTTCAAAGATAAAAATAAGGTGTATATGTTTTTATTTAGAGAAGTCTGGGTATTCTCTAAGTAAGCAGAACTAATGATCCTTACTTTTTATGAATTTTATTTTTCTTTAAAATCTCTTGTCCCAGTTTATCCTCTGACATTCCTACTGGAAAGAGGCAGTTCCTGCTCTATCTAAAGCAGAGCTGACTGTGTATCAAGCATGGCTATCACTGAGTTGGTTATGTAAAAGCTGAATTTTGTAGGCTTTCCTCATGGCAGGAATGTTGGGATCGTTCCTCCCCCTCTGCCTAAACTAATCAGTGATTTTCATAACATTATTATCTTTGAGCCCTACCTGAACAATTTCAACCGAATCTGAAGGAAGTATTCTGTGGAAAAATTGATACATTGGAATGGATAAAATGGTTGCCTTGGACAATGGCACTTGTGACCACTTAGTCTGCACTGTCAGTGTTGGGGTTTTTTACCAACATGTTTCCCTGAACTTTAATTGAATCTTGTTTGATGTCCTTCATACCTTGCTTTGGAAGCTTCTTTCCTCTGTGTTTATTTACTTTTGTCAGTTGAATAATATCTGTGCATAGTGACCTACTGGTTAGTGATTTTTTTTCCCCAAGGCAAATTATAAGGGACTGATTAGATTACAGAATTCACAAATAAATGACCAGTTAAACTTAGTGGGTTCTTGAGGATGTCTTACTCAACTAAGAAAAATAACATAATTTTCACGTTCTTTCATTAATGTATTTCTTTTCATTAAGAATTGAAATTATTTCTGAGTGAAAACATCTAGACAACTTTTGAATTCTTATCTGTGATTATGGTTGCATTTCTGCTGGTATTACAAGGCCATTTTGTTTTTCAGAGTAGCCGTAGGGCTCGTGAGGTAATGCAGTGCAATCAGCCCCCGAGAAACTGTAGAGAAGCTTTCACTGCTGAAGGTGATCAAGTATTTGAACGACGCTATTACTCTTCCAGTTTTGTCAGACCCAAGTTCCTAAGTCAAGATGTTGAAGCAGAAATCAGGTTAGCATCTTGTAACATGTTTGTAAAAAGTGCACTTCTTGGTATGAACAGTGGAATTGCTTATTTGTCTGTTTGCATCTACACTACTCTCTAGTCTCTCCATTTTCTTTCTGAGATCTACACTTCCTTTCTGAGAATTCTAGAAAATTTCTTCATTTCAGTGCCTTTTTGTGATAGGGACAAACTTGCATTCTATTTAGTTAGCTTTCAGTTTGGGGCATGTAGATCTTACCGACCAAGCAGGGATTTTCTGTGCTCAGTAGTCCAGGAAATCTAGCTACTTTCTTTTTTATGCTTGGTCAAAAAGAGTATGGAGTCAAGGCTTTTCTTTAAAAATATAATACTTGAACAGTGATGTCATAGTCTAGTGCAAGGGAGGCCTGACTATTCAAACCAAAGTTGTTAGCACACATCCTCCTGTTGGTTTCAGACTTTGCATCTGTGTTTCCTCGGGCTTTTGACTTCATTCCTGGTAGGTATCTCTGAGAATTCCCTCATCTTTTTTTTTATGGGTTTTTTCTCTCATTGCTTTTAAAATGGTAGTTGAAAAAGCAAAATATACTTCAAAGATTACAAACTTGAGCTGTCATCAAGGAAATTTGTGACAATAGAGTACTTTAATTTTGAGGCTCAGATTATATTAGAGATAGATTAGGCAATTTTATTAATAGCTGATAGTATAAACTGAATTGAATGCTAAAATTTATTTCTGTAAACTCAAAAGTTTTAAATGTGTAAATTAATTGTAGTTGGTTCATGGCAGTATGTAATGAATTTCACTCACAAATTATTTTAACTTTCAAAGTGTTACAGGCATTCCATTACCAATTTTGCTATGGGGGAATGATGTAGGCTAGTTAAAAAGGAGTGCATTTTTACCCTTTGTCTTTTAATGCATGTAATTTTTTTTTTGTGTATTTCTGTATGTGTGTCTCACAAATAATATATGTGTAGTATATAACATCTCAATATCACTTTGTTTATAAAGTCACTTGAATAAGGAAATTGAAAACAAAAGGGCACAGTTGACAGCCTCTCAGCAACGCTTACATTCCATTGAAAATGAGATCAGGCAGAATGAAGATCATCTCTGTGGTCATCGGCGACACCAAAAACAACTGCAGGTAAAAATAGGTACAGTGTTAGTTTTTAGAAATTCCTCAGTCTTTCCCTATTTCAGTCTTTCCCTATTTCATTTTGACTTCTGCAATCTATCTGGAGTGCCTGATAATTTTTAATTTTTATCCTTACTTCTCTTGTTTGCTTTCATGTTTTTTTTTTTTTTCGTAGTATGCTCTTACAGTTGAGGACAGAATGATGGAGACCACATGAATCCTTACACATGCTGTTGTTTCTGTTCAGTATCTTTCCCTGCCTTGTGCTAAACCTTACAAATTTCTACTGCTATTTTTGACACTAGTAGTAAGTTGTTGCACAGAAAAGACACTTGCATCATATAGTGCTTCTCCCTGCTTTATTTCTGTTGAGCCTTGCCTCTTCATTTCCAGAATCTTGTTTATCTTCATGCTCTTCTGGTATATTCTTAACTGATCTTGATATACTGACTATTTCTTCTTTAAGTTCTCTTAATTTTAATTTTAAGTAATCTTAATTTTTTAAGTAATCTTTAAGTAATGTTAATTTCTTAATTTTAATTTCTTTATAAACCATTTTACAGCTGTTAGCCTTCTTTCTGTGGTCTCTGGTACCTCTAGGTAGGATGTATATTTTTGGTGCTCCAGGTAGGCAGTGTAAGCTAATACATATTATATAAGGTTATATTAAGTAAATAATAAGTAAGAAGCAGCAAAAAAACCCCTAGCATGTAGTCTGAAATGCTGAAGATAAATACTAGGAGAAAAAATAAAGTGTATTTTATTAAATTGTCATATTGAATAGAAATATGATAACTTAGTGAATTAAAGCAACTTTCAGAACAAGTTATGTCTCATGCAATTGAATTCCACAGGTGGGTGTGAAGAGTTGTGTCTCTTGTTAGTCACTAACGAAGCTAAAAAATACAAGTATCTTCTTTCCTGTGATGACTTAAATAAACAAATGTGAACTTTTCTTTTTAGTTAAGCTTCAGAACATGTATTTTCTTTTTCTTCCCAGGTGAAAATAAGAACAGCAAATGCAGAGATAGCAGATCTTGAAAACGTGGAAGAGCACCAGTCAGCAGACATCCATATATTAGTAAGAACAGATTATGCAATTATGTCTAATCAGTGTATGGATAATGTCTTTTAATGTTGGCAATGCTTTGAAATAAGCAAAGTTGGATAGTGAGGAATGGAACACTTGCCATAATTTGAAATATTTCTCTAAATTGAGTGATTTTATTTATTTTTGGTGATTTAATTTTTTTTCCCCAGGTTTTGCAATATCTGTCTTTTTGAATCAAAGTATTTATGATGATAAATCATTAGGAATGATGTTATTTTCTAGGAGACAACAACAATCCACTTACTCTTCCTGCATTGCATTGTATATTGGATGTATGTTGGCCACAGATCCAGAGGGAAGTTACCTTGTTCTTTTCAGTCTTTTTATCACAACTCTAAAATAAAATCCTCTTAATTTTCAGTCACATAAATATGAAGTTCCACTTTTATTTTGCAGTTTGATTTTGTGGTCACCTACAAGATCTGTCAGTCTCTTCCTTTGGGCTTTAGTGACAATTACATTAAGCTGCTCCTATTCTTACTAGAGTTAAAGAGTACTTCATGTAATACTGTACCCTAATACTGATAGTAAAAAAATCTGGTACAGTAGTTTACAAATGTGTCTCCTTTTATTATTCTTAACTTTAATATCTTCTGACAGCAAGACGAAGCTGAAGAAAATAAGTGTAGGATGGAATCTGTGAAACAAGACATGCAGCTACAAAGCAGAAAAATGGAAGAACTGAAAAACAGTCTCCAAGCAGCTGAAAAAAAATTGGAAGAGGTAAAAGAGAAAATTCATCAAGTGGAAGAAATTGCTGGCCCAATTAAGGTAACAATAATTTCATATTGTATTTTTGATTTGTTCTGTTTGTGTGTCAAGGTGAATGAGGTTAAGAAGAGGTGATGCAGGAGAAGAGAACTTGTTTCCTGATATACTTAAGGTCACCTAGAAAATGGAAATGGAGCATTCCATCTAGAGCATGTTGGGAAATAAGCTTGGCGATATTTTGAAGGTGGTGTTCATTGTTACGTGTAGTCACTGTAGTGTTTTATGTTTAAAGAGAGTTCATTTCCTGGTATCTTTAGTCATGGAGTGAAAAGGCAGGAAAAACAGTTTCCTTGACTTTGCTTTCTCGTGCATCACATTTTTTATTTTGTTTCTAAGAAACCTTGGCTAAGAATGTGCATAACTATTCATTTCTCAAAATATCATTTGATGTTCTATATGAATTGATTGTTATTTTATGAAGTTATATATTCACAGAAGGTACCAGTGTATAGTTTTAATTATTCAAGACTACACAAGGCACCTGGAAATGGCAGAGAAATAGCAAGACTTAAGATAAATAGCAGAATGGTGACATGCCAAATTTAATACTGGCAAGTGGAAGGCAGTCTCACTTTGGCAAGAAGAACTTACAATTTGAAAGTAGAAAACAGAAATAAGAGTTCAGGAAATTTATAGTACTGTAAACTTGTAGAAGGATGAAATGAAGAAAACTTAAAGATCGCTATAGGAATCTCTTATATGTCTCATTTAAACTGTAAATTGCTGTGTAGTCAGCCTAAATTAAAAGAGCAAACCAAAAGAGTACAGAAAGAGGGTAGCAAAACAACAGATAAATGTGTTGGTTCTAATGTATCTAATCTGGAAATTCTAGAGATATTATCTATTTTAAAGGAACCACTCTGTATGGAAAGAGAAGAGATTTATTCACAATATGAAAACATTATTGCTTGTTATTAAGAGTACTGAACACAAGTGGGGGAAGCACTGAAATTCCTGAAGAGGTTTTAAATCAGATGAGTTGTTAAGTATTCTACAGTTGTTTAATTAACTGTTGGCATATAGCAAGTTGTGCTTTTAAGATAGAATTGGAAAAAAGTAAGAGCATATATTATTGTTGGTGATGGTTGGTTTTCTTGTTTGTTGTTGTGGGGTTTTTGAGTTGTTTCTTGTTTTTTTCTCTTTGGTTTGGTGTTTTTTATTTTTGTTAAGACAAGCCATCTAGTTGACAGGGATGAAGAAGACAGTATGTCCTAATTCATGTCATTCTTTATACCTCTTTGATTCTCTGGAAAGATAACCACTTCAATAGTATCAGTACTTACATAGAATAGAGGTTGCTAGTGAAGGGTCTGGAGCACAGTTCCTGTGAGGAGCAGCTGAGGAAGCTGTGGCTGTTTAGCCTGGAGAAAAGGAGGCTCAAGGGGGACCTTACCAGTCTCTACAACCACCTGAAAGGAGATCGTAGTGGGGTGGGGCTCAGTCTCTTCTCCTGGGTAACAAGTGACAGAAGGAGAGGAAATGGCTTCAGATTGCACCAGGGGAGGTTTAGTTTAGATATGAGCAGCAAAATTTTCATGGAAAAGGTTGTAAACCATTGGAACAAACTGCCCAGGCAAGTGGTGGAATCACTACCCCTAGAAGTGTTAAAAAATGTATGGCTGTTATAGTGGAGGATGTGGTTTAATGGTGTGTATGGTGGTGGTTTTGCGTTGATGGTTTTACTTAATGTTCTCAAAGGTTTATTCCAACCTTAACTATGCTATGATTCTATGATTTTATATTACAGCTATAGCAGGACACTGAATTTTCACACAAAAATGCAGTTCTGGCTGATATCACACAGGCATCAGAAGTTCCAGATAGAATATAGTGTAAAAAATACATGCAGTTTTTTGAGCTTTAGGAGAAAGCATAGCTTTTTTTAAAGATTGAAACATTACCTCAAGATACAATTCCTCAGATCATTGCATGTATTTGTTCCTTGTTGGAATTGAGCATAGACTTTCTCATAAGCTGCTGTTAATGCTCCCAGAAGTAGTGTTACTGAAAGCAAAAGAAGTTAGAACAACCTGTGAGAAGTCAGTAAACACTAGAGAGATCTCAGGAATCTACCCCAAACAGCTCATATCGTGATTTGTTCCAAACAGGCTGAATTAAGCCAGGCTGAGTCAGAAGTGGAAAACAGTAAACGCCATTTGCAGCACTATGAAGATAAACAGAGAGAACACGTGGCTTGCATAAATAAGCACAAAGATTTACTAGTTTCCAAAGAAAAGGAATTAGAGGTATGTGTGGTGGGGTTTTTTTTAGCTATTGAAGTCAGATGGTCATGATTCTTCTAATATTTAATAATAAATCCTTGCACTTGTATAACATACAGACCATATTAATGTACTCAGCTGCACTGAGTATTCTCTCAGCTATGTCTTACACTGATTAGGTAAAGCAAGTAATTTTATCTAAGTGAATTGCAGCTTCTTTTTTTTCTGATAGGACACCTGTTCTCTCTTGACAGATAAATTAGGGTTCATCTATCTAGGATCATTTCTTCTGTCTTTTGCAATGAGAAGATTAAAATTACTTAAAATTTGGGGCTTAAGTTAAATTGAATAATATTGTTTTGGTTTCTTGGATGGTAGGGTTTTCCTTTTACAGGCCACATATCTGGTCTTTTGAAGACTTACCTAATCAAGCTTTATTAACTAACTCTGAAATCACATCCATAAAGACTTTTGGAAGACTGCCCTATTTAAATATGGTGATTTTGGTTCCTTATTTATCTGCATTAGCTAAATAACTGTGATTGTATTAAAAATCTTGGATACAGTTCTTGGCACTGAAATAACTACCCATGTATAAATGTTGTTGATAAAATTGTTAACTGAGTTTGCTGTGATGAAAACAGAAAGAACACAAGAATATTGTTCTTGCTTGGAGTTTGTAGCATAAAATACTTGTTGTGAAGACTAAACAGATTTTTGAAAAATGTGACAGTTTTTTGAGTTTCGAACATTCCTTTAGGAAAAAATGGCAAAAGCAAGGCAAATCTTCTCAGAGCCCATCAAGGTCAGCAGAACTGTTAAAAGTCTTGATGCAGAAATGAATCGCTTGAGAGAGAAGATAAATTTAGAAAGCAGTCACCGTGGAAACAGAGAAGAAATAATCCAGTAAGTCATCTTTACTGTCTAAAACAGTTCAGATAGGATGGAAAAGAGAGGGGAAAGAAGACTTTTCTTACTGAGAGTTTTCTTACTGACTCACTATGTGTTTATGTGTGTTTTTACTACTTAAGCTGTTTCTAGAAATGTTTTGTACTGGTTCTCCCAGTACTGAACAGGCGTAAGAGTCCTGAAACACCTTTCAGTGATTTTAAGCAGCATCTGTGCTGTATATAAGATGTGACCAATAATCAGATACCCTCTTAGTGTTTTGAAATATCCCAGTTATGACGACACAAATTTAACTTGCCATTGTTTTGTGATGCATTGAGGATTAAGCATAATTCTAGTTTGAGTAACTAATGCACAAGCTGGGAAGCTCCTTGAGTGTATTTCAAGGAAGCACTCCCCTCAGATATTCTTGAGCATGGAGAAACCAGTCATTCATTCTCCTTGGTGAAAGAGTTTATTTTCAAAATAATTAAAAATAAAATTAAGATTTAATTTTGGTTGACATTTCGTTGTAAACAGTGTCTTACTTATCAAATGCTTTTAGCTTTCACATAAATTCTCACAAGAAAGTTTTCATTTGAATATTCTGCTTATCAAAATGATTTTCAGAATTTACAACAATAGCTCAGTTTTAATGTAATGCATATTACTCCTAACCTTTCTGTTAATTAAAACAGGCAATTTCATTATGCAAAGGAAAGATACGAGGATGCAAGCAATAAAGTAAAGAACTTAAGGAGATTTATTGCAGTGCTGGATGAAGTGATGACAGAGAGGCTCAAAGTGTATCGGCAATTCCTAAGGTGAGTTTAAGACAGTGTTCACAACAATCTTTTTCACCTAAGCTTGCTCCCACTTTCAGTCTTATCCTGACTGAGAGTTTAGAGGCAGCCTGGACTGACAGCTGGAAAAGCAGTGAGATAGTGGAGCCTGTATTTTGCTTTATCCCAAAGACCTCAACTGTGTTGACTTCATCCAAGGCAGTTCTGTCTGAATGCTGGTTTCAGTCAGTAAAATGTCAGCAACATACTAGGACTTGAAATAATCTGTGCTGTCACTCATTTTTATTGATTATAAGCAGTGGTGCTGAGCTCTTATAATCTCATTTTAGGCCAAACAATTCTCCTCTGCTCTGTGATGAAAATCTTTGAAGATCTTGATTCAGATTCTATAATTTGACAGCTTCTTCTGCATTACTGTGTACACCCCTTCTTTCTTGCTTCAGTCCCTTAATATCTTATACCTGTCCATGAAGATTTTGTTGTTGCCTTCCTTCAAAAGGATTGTCTCCAGTATGTCTAATGTCACCCATTTGAGAGTGCAGTTGATTTTGGGGAAATGTTGTTATTGGAGGAGGGCTTAATGTTTAATGATGTGGAACTGTTGATGAAAATCCGTTGTCACTTTTTCATGTATTTAAAAACTTGCTCCCCTAATGTTTGTTTGCTTGATTTAAGGAACCTTTCTATGCAATGCAAACTCCACTTTGAGCACTTATTACGTGTTCGAGGTTGCTCTGGACATATAATTTTTGATCACAAGAATGAGACACTTTCCATAACAGTAAGTTATTTTATACTACTTCAGTTACTATAATACATAATGAATTATTATCTTAGTCTCAGATACTAGAAATGCATTGAAAATTATAGAAAAAAATTGTTTTTCCCTCTGCAAAATGTGATACACTAAGTTGTAGTGTTATATCCTGATCAAGTAATCAATTTAATCATATAAAAGAGTTATGATTACAAGTAGAAAATCGTGAAGTATAAGGTGTAGAAATGTTAGGTGTGTTGTGCTTGAAATATGCAGCCATAGGAACCTCACCAAGAAATTGCTGGACTTCTGTGTTTTGGTTAAGAAGCTATGGAGACTGTCATGCACACCAGTTACGCTGCTTGGGAGCCTCCTACCCTTCCCATCTTGGTTTGAATATCAATGATTCCAGTCAGCAAACCTCAGTAGAAATGACCAATGATTGTTTTAGGATAAGAATACTGATGAAGTTATATAACTAGCAAAACCAGTCATTGCAAAGGTTAAATTTAAGAGTGGGCATATTATGTATGCATAGTATGTAAAAGAACTTATGTGACAATGATTCAGCAGAAAAAGTATGTAAAAATGGCTGGATTTTGTCTGTTGAGCGGGACACATTGGAGGAGTTTCCAAAAGCCTCATTGAAGAAGTGTCCTTAATCACAACAAACTTATCCAACACTTACCCAGAGTATTGGATAAGTTTCTTTTGTCCCATTTGGTGACAGTAGGATGTTTTTGAAAACTAGGAAGGACAGAAAACATTGCGATTTTAAATGGTTGCTAGATTACAAGGAATAAATGTGGATTGGTCATCTAGTCTTTCAAAATAAGTAATTCCTGGTTCATTGATAGGAAGTTCAGCAGTATTTGTGTGATTCTATAATGGCACTAGTTGTTATTTAAACAACTTAGTTCAGGAAAGCTTCAATATGTTTTTTTTCTGTGTACCTTTTAACATACATCCCAAAAAGTTTTATCATGGATTTATTTACTTTTTTTTCTGTGGGAGACTTCAGTTTTAGGGATTAAGGGGAAAAATGTACAGTGGCAACATAAATACATGTAAACAGTCTTAATTAGACAGGTGAAGCACATGTATCTGAAGAACTAAACTCAGTCCATAAAATACCAAGTCATTACTTGACTTTATCAGAATATATTTTTTTAATAGCTGATGTCTCACATATCTCACAAAATAGATCTGTATTTAGTCAAGGAATGTAAGTTGCAAAAAGAAGACAATTCCCTGCAAAAAAAATATTCCACTTCAAAATAATCCATATTTGCCTGCTTAACTTGTTAAATGCAATGCAGTTAGCAGGGCAAGAAAATGCCCAAGTTTCATCTTACAGAAGGAGTACCACAAGATGTCATCATAATCAATGTAACCAAATGGCTGTTCCCAGTGTTTCATGTATTCCATGTAAAGAATCCCTTCCTCATTTAAAATTCTGTAAATCAATTATCTGCTTTTCTATTGTACCCAGTAACCATGGGATTTTACTGTTATGTAAACATTTATGTTGACATTTATTAAACACTGTGTAACAGCTATTAGAAATAGAGATTTGAATAACAAAACTCTGGCACAGTCATTCAATCTGTTCAGTGTGTATGATTGTGATAGAAGAAGTTGCAGTGATCCTAGAAATATGTTACTAAATGGTTAGGAGCCATGCCATTCCGGAATGACAATTGCAGTGAAATGCAGAAAAGTGTTTTCAAGTGATCTCTGTTCATGTAGAATGTGTTTGCTGTTAAAATTATGGTTCTGTTAGTATGTCCTCATCTCAGATTTAAAAATTGCTCCAATATTTTTATTTTAAGGTTCAGCCTCGAGAGGAAGAAAAAGCTGCCCGTAGTGATCTGAGATCCTTATCAGGAGGTGAACGTTCCTTCTCCACAGTTTGTTTCATTCTTTCTCTGTGGAACATTTCTGAATCTCCTTTCAGATGCATGGATGAATTTGATGTCTACATGGTATAGTTTAAACTTAAACTGTATCTTCCATTCTGATTTGTATAAATTAGCAAAATAGTTGGGTTGTTACTTGTATTTGATTAGATTTAAATTTAAATTAGATTAGATTTTAAACCACTGTAGTTAACTGTAAATTATAAAAAACCCCCAAACCAAAATCAAAATCCCCCAAAAGAAAATTTGTTAGGGATCTTACTCACTCTGTTTGGTGTCATATGAAGCTTATTTTGTTTCTGAAGTTTGTATCCGGAAATATGAGCCTTTCTCTTAATTTATGTGTTCAAACCATTGTTCAGCACAAAACCAAGAAATCAGCTGGTACTGTGTTTGTCAGAGTTTGACTCTGCATATTGCTGGGACATTCTGGGCTTTGCATGTGCTTTGATTTCTGCCAATTTTGAGATCAGTGTGGGTTTTTTCAGAGCAGATGTAGCAGCTGGGTTCACTGTTGCTGCTCATTTTACAGAAACTCATACTTCAGCTAGGAGAATGTTTCCAAAATGTTGTAATGCAGAATAATGACCAATAAATACTAATGTTTGCTAAAACTGATAAATCATATTTTTTTGTACAGCTTCCCTGGACAGGCCATTAACTCATATTGAAATTTATTTTCTTTTTTTTGAAGATTTATTTCCTCCTTATTAAATATGCAGGGTGGTATGAGTTTGAGAAAATATTTACTTCTGTGAGACAAAGTTTTGATACTGCCTTATTTAATTTTGTCTCAGTGTCCCATCTTCATCAATCATTTATTTACTAGGAATCACTTAGAGGGAACAAAGATAATACAGTTTCTCTTAAAGAATTTCAAAAAGGACAGTATGCATCTAAGGTAGTGAAGCAGTCGTTTTTCAGCCAACTTTCAAATCTTAGATCCTCTTTTAAAAGTTAGTAGTACAGAGGTTTATCCATCTTTCCAGAAAATGATGGATACTCAGAAGTGTAGGCCTTGCAAAGAGCTTGCACGTCATCTATTCCATAAATTATTCCCCACAATTTGTCTTTCCACCACAGTGCCAGTACTGTTGTCTTACTGTCCACACACGTTCTGTAGTTACTCCTGGTGTAGTCCCAGAGCCCCACCACATGAGGACTCCACGGTGTGTTTTTGTGGGAGATCTCTGCTTTCATGAAGAACAGTACACAGCCGTAGAGCTTTGTTGGTCCCTCCTAGTAACAGCTTCTTATTGCACATCCTTTTCAGTAAGCCTAATGCATAAGGTTCCATTCAAAATAGTAATAATGATAATAACAATAATAAACCTAATAAAAACAAGTTCCATAATATCATAGGTTTCATGGAGCCCTTAAATCCTTTCAGGTGATTTTTCAGGCAGGATTTTACAGGAAACATTATTCTGCTAAAGTACAGTTCATCTCAGCATACCAATAAAGTAAGAAGTACTGTATGTACATCAAAGATGATAGAAAAACACTATAAGTAGATGAATGTGTGATTTTTCTGATAGAAGCTTTCCATTGCCCATGTTTGCTAAAAAGTAGAGTCTAAGAATTTCCCAGGCTATAATTTGTAGCTTTCAAATTTTTACCCTAATGTTTCTCCAGGTTTTCTTAGTTTTTATTAGTCTTATTTAGACATTTTCTTTAGTCAGCCTTGACTGTATAGCAATTAATTCTGGTAGGTTTTCTAGAATCATGCTTTCTAATGTATTTATTACTGTCAGTACCACTACCTGACAAATCTTTTGTCTTTAGGATATGGTTAACAGAAGAATTGCCATCGACATGATTCTGGAGAGAGCTGATTTTCAGCGGCATCGACAGTTCATTTTGTTCACCCCCCTGAGCATGAGGTAATTCTCTTGTGGTTTATTTCAGGATACAAGAATTGCAAGGGAGTTCTCTTGCAAGGAGTGTATTTGAAAAAGTTGAATGTGAGGAGAAAGAAATTCTGCTGTTTGTTGCAGTAGAACATAAAAAATGAAGCAGTTCTGTGAATTTAAAGAGTTTTTTTAACATAATGGTCATTCAGTGGGACTTGAATCAGTTTATCTGAAATAACAACTTTTAGAAATGTTTTCTTTTGTCAAGCAGGCTCTTCTTAGCTTAGCTTTTTATGTCCCTCTCCTCTCCCAAAAATAACGAAAGACAGGATTTGTTTTCTGTTAATACTATACTACTTTAAAGGGGTTGGTGATTTGAGTTGATTTTATTTTCTAGGTTTTAGTGTTGCTGATCTAGAGAGTCATAGCTTATACCATGTTTTCATGTTTTAAATTTGTCATCTAGTGGTTCAAAATTCTTTCAAAACCTCTATATAAACCCTGGTAGAGCCATTCCCAGTTTAAGGGGACAGTCATGTCTCTAACCTTGTGCAGGCAGCTCCTCTCTTATTAACCCAGTGTATCTAGTGAAGCTTAAGAGGTGATTAAAGCAGTCTTCAAAAAGAAGTTGATTTATTCCTAATTGTCTTCCCTCACTAAAGTATATAAAAAGTAGAGGAGTGGTATCTGTTGTTATTTCAGTGGAAATGCTTTTGTGGAGAGTTTCTGAAACTAGTAAACACACAGGATTTTTTTGCATGGTTACTGTTGAAAAAATTAGTAATTCAAGTTCAGTTTGAATTTGTTATATTGTTCCATGTTTCATGTTCAGCAAACATTAAATTTAAGAAAAATATGGGGGCAACTTCAGAAAAAATCCATTTATAATAATCAGTGGAGAAGCCATGTGAATTTATGTTTAGTAAATTATCTCAGTATGTTGGGATTGATTACATGTGTGTATAGTGTGTGCTACTTCAGTATCTGTAAGGCAAATCCTTACTTGTATTCCATCATTTGTTCGTTTGGAGATTTTGGTAAAATAACCTTTTCTCTAGTTAAGGCAGTCTAATTGTTAGAAATCACATGACTGAAATGCGTGCTTGTCATTACCTCAAGATTTTATTCTACTCGGGCCCAGGATCAGTGCAGTGAAGCCCAAACTTCACCTCATGTTACGTTTTTTAAAACTGACAAAGAAAAAAAGTGGAGTTATTTAAAGGAAAATATGTAGTGTAAAGAATCAAATGGAAGTACTAAAATTCTTGGAGAAGAAACACTGTTGAAATGATGCATCCTTTATTTTTAGTTCTCTGCCTACGAGTCCCCATATTCGAATCCTCCGCATGCCAGACCCTCCAAGAGACCAAAGAACACTGAATTTCCAAAATAGGAATGATGAAGATGAAGATCAATAAGTATCTCTGTATGAATATGGTATTATATTGAGGATAAATGTGTAATAATATGTGTAAAATTATTGCTTCCTGATTCTAAAATAGATGATAAATTGTTAGATACTCTCAGGAAGATATTTCTGTATTGTTATTAATTATTTTTTAACAGATTACTGTGTGTGCACAGAAGAAGAATAAGCACAGTTTGGATGAGGAGAAAATTTTTAATGTTCTGTTGATATTTTTAGCTACCAACTGTAGAATTTTTTTATCTGTTGTTCTGATTTTTCTTCTGAAAATTTTGAAATATATTTTGTATAACTATAAAATAATATTTTAATAAACTGTTTGAACTGATACTTGTGGTAATGTTTTAGTGTCTCTACACACTTAAAATTAGCATTAAATTATAAATACTGTTTTCTTCCTAGTTATGCTTTATTTCTTAAATGTGTGGTAATTAATACATGCAGTAAAATGTGTTTCATTTATTTTCCAGTGGAACCACAGTAGGTGAATATGAGCAACTATTAGAACTTATACTTGCATAAATAGAAAACGGAAAATTTTATATGTAGTATATTATCTTGGTGGGAAAATAGTTCTTTCATTCCTTTCTTAATGAGTTTGAGTGTCTTTGGACATGAGCTTACAAAATGTAGCAAGCTGTATCTTTATAAACCTAGATTCTTCATTCCAGTGAACTGGTTCTTACACACTCTTGAGTTTCCAGGTATAGAAAAAATCTCTAAATATTAATTTTATTATAATAAACTAAAGAGACACAAGTCTTTCCAATAGATAGGAATGAAGTAGAATAAGAATTTTGAGAAATAATACCTTAACTTTTCTATACAGCATTGTAGAGCTGTGTTTCATTGGGTCTGCCTGCCCTCTTTCCCCTTCCCCATTTCCCTGGGACCAGAGTACTTAAACTTGATTTGTTTAGATACTACAAGCATTTATTGGGGATAAGAGGGAGAAAGAAGAACCAGATTTTTCAAACTCATTCAAATTAACCTTTTTTTCTTCTCCTGTTCTTTTTTTTTCTCCAGGAACTTGAAATTTTTGGCAACTTCAAAAAAACCCCACTTCTTAGAGTTCAGCTGCATATCTTTTTTGTCATTGTTTTGGGGGATTTTTTGTTGTTGTTTGATGTTACATGGCTACAAGAGCCATTGAGACTACTCAGAGAACGACATTCAACAGTTTCTGCACTTTTTTACTGAATAGCAGTTCCTCAATAAAACCTTATCACAGTGTAACTTTTAACTTGACTTTGTAGCGTAATTTGTTTTCAGTCGCAGCACAGTATTAAACTTGTAGGTTTCTTTAAAATACGGAAGCTAGGTAAGACTTGAAGGAAATACACCCTACAGAATCATGGATCCATAAAAAAATTCTGAGTTGTAAGGGACCCATCAGCTGTGTTATGTTCCCAGTGAGTTGTGGCAAGTTGAAGTCCTGCATAAGGAGAAGGGCAGCTGAGCTGGAAGTGTCCCTTAGTTCCTCAGAGAGCCATGCCTCAGTGTCATCATCCTGGTCTATAGTAGACTCCCAAGGTGACATTGCATTATTTGTATTTCCTTTGATTCTTAGAGGCTTGCAACTGTGCCATTGCCAACTGTAGGCTCTGTACATTCCATCCCTGCCATGGCTTACAATGCCACCCCGGGCACTGCTGCCCTGCCCATCCCTCCTGAAGGGCCTGTGACCAACAGGGCACTCCAATCACAGGACTGAGCCCACACTTTCACTACACCAATGATATCAAATCTCTGGGACTGGACCAAAGGCTTGAGATGGTCTTGTTCCTCGTGCTTTGTGTATTAGTGTAGAAACAATTTCAGCTGTGGTGCTTTGCAGCCAACAAACCTGAAGGAGATGGAGGGATCCCATTAGTTTTCTCAAGTTCTTGCATACCATGCCATTGCTCCCCAGAGGCAAGCCTGGTTTTGTTCCTTTTTGCCTTCCAATTTCTGTCAATGAGCCCTGCTGGATCCTGTGCTAGAGCTCTTCCCCACCCTCCCCTCAGTGCATCTCATCAGGTGTCAGTAGAGCAGGTGTTCAACAGAACATCCCATGGTTAAAAAAAAAAAAAAAAAAAAAAAAAATTTTTTTGCTTACACCAGCCTTGGAGCTATGTGTTGACCTGGTGGATCTGCCTATTCCTGTCAATATTCCTTGTTACCAAAAGTATTATGGAAATTGCTACATGTGCTTCTGATGCTTCAACCTTCAACCCAAAGCCCTGAAGTCTCTTTTGATTGTCCTTGGAATTCTCTGCTTTTTCATCACTGCTGGCTTGAAGAACCGATAGTGGATAGTAATCAGAGGGCATTGCTAGACTAGAGAGTTTTCCAGTAATTTCTCTTACCCATGCCTCTGGGAGCCAGCAGAATTCCCCATGAGTTGGGTCTGGTCTGCATATCAGGCTGTCCCTCACCTCCCTCACCTTAGAGGGAGTTTCCTATTACTGCTACCCTTCTTTTCGTGTTATCAGAGGTCTTGATGCGGGTACAGGAGGTGTTGCTTTAGGAGGGCCCTCTGTCCCAGTAGGTCCTTTGCCCACCCCATCATCTGGCCTTGTTCCAGAGCCTCGTACTTGTTGCAGAAGGTTCCAGTTCTACATGTTTCCAGGAGGAGGAGGAACCTCCTCCCAGCATGTGGAGTGACCTGCTTCCAGCCTTCATCTTGAGCAGACCCTTGACTAAAAGGCCCTTGACTAATTACCCTGTAGGGTTCTGAGTCCACCTGCTTCTCCACTACAATGGAGGTTTGAGACTCCTGGGAGTCTTGATACTGTGGCATCTCTAAATAACCTATCTCACTTGTTCACTCGAATACCACGTAGCCTGTTCACTTCCTCCTGAAGCCTCTTCACCTGGTGACAGCTCCTCAACCACAGCACACCTTCTGCAAAAGAGCTTTTGTCAGCCCCAGCCTCTCAGGCATCAGGCACTCCTGTCACCTGCAGAGCTGCCTCTGCCCTCAGCACTCCTGGCTGTCCAGAGGCCTCTGACACAGCCGGTTCCGTGATCCAGCAGCTGCAGGGGAGTGAGCTCTACGTGTCATCCACAACTGGGGAAGCTTCCACTGCTACACAGGTACAGCTGGGGCTGAAGGGATCTTTTTGTGCTCTTCTTCACCAGGCACTGAGTCTGTTTCCCTCTCCTGGCAGACCTCGGGCAGCCCAGGGTAATGCCAGCAGCTGTGAGGAGGTTACTCACAGAGAGGACCAGGCTTTTTGTTAATGTGCATGCTGCAAGAGACAGACAGAGGTCATCCACTGAAATGGGAAGGTTCTGGCTCAGCAAACCAGTAAGGATTGTTCAGGATGAAGGTAAGAGGTATTTGAGCATGTTACACAAACAGGCTGTGAAATCTCTGTCCTTGGAAGTTTTTGGAGTCTGTTGAATAGACTCCTGCATCTCCTTCAAGCAGGGAGCTGGGCAAGAGACCTATGAAGGTTCTTGCCCATCTGAACAATTCTATAATTCCATAATTCAAGGTACTTACACCTTTAGGATTATGTGAAGATACTGTGAGGCACCTTACAAAGTGCATGCTTGGCAAAACTTGTCTGGAACCAGCAGGTCGAGGGAGGTGGTTCTACTGCTCTACTCTGCTGTTGTGAGATCCTGCCTGGAGTACTGTCCCCAGCTCTGGGGTCCTCTGCATTGGAAGAGCATGGACCTGTTGAAGCAGAATTAGAGGAGGCCACAAAGATTCTCAGAGGGCAGGAGAACCTCTGCTGTGGAGACAAACTGAGAGTTGTGTCTGTTGAGTGCGGAGAAGGCTCCAGAAAGACCTCATGGCACCTTCCAGTACTTAAAGGGGCTACAAGAGAACTGGAGAGGGATTTTTTTACTAGGGCCTGCAGTGACAGGACAAGGGAGGGTGGCTTTAAACTGACAGATATTAGATTTAGATTAGATATTAGGAATAAATTCTTTATTGTGAGGGTGATAAAGCATTGGAATAGGTTGCCCATAGAAGTTTTGGGCACCCCATCTCTGGAAGTGCTCCAGATCAGGCTGGACGGGGCCCTGGGCAACCTGTTTTAATGCAAGATGTGCCTGCAGGGGGTTGGAACTGAATTATCCTTACAGTCCCTTTCAACCCAAACCATTCTTTGATTCTAGGACATGACCATGAGCTACATGTCAAGCTTGACTCGATTTTATGATGAAATTGGAGTAGGTTTTAGACCTTTTTATAGTATGAGATAAAACGGCATTGCATTATTTCCTACTGATTCTCTTCAGTATCCAAAAAAACCAAAAATGGCAAGAGTGCAGAGGCAGGAAAGAGTAAAGCATTTATCTTCATTAGTCTTCTATAATGAGTTGTGTGGAGAAAAGAGATTAAGGAAAATTAATGCATTCCTACTGAGCTAACACTTCAGTTTTCTCTCAAGCTTTTATAGACTTACTTGAAATATTGGAGGACATGGCAACAATTCTGGTCTTTTGTTCAAATCAGTACTTTGAATTTATTCTAATCTACCACTGTACTTGATGAAGATGTGTTCCTAACTATATAATTATTATAAGCATATTTGCATGGTGGAGAATTAATTCTGAATAAACAATTACTGAAGCCCTTGCATGGATGCACTTATTTTTGCAGTGATCCTACTAAGGTCTCAAAACGATCATATTCTTGGTTCTTTAAATACAGAGTTTAATGTAGTGGCTACCTAGAGAGAAGATTGCAGTGCTGATGCTACATTTTTGAGTTTGACTGTGTTTTTGAGTTGTTGGTCATTTTGGGTGGCAGTGCATTGCTTAATGCTGCACTAAAGTAAATGGAGCCTGTCTAGACACATAAATTCAAAGTGCAGGGAAACACAGAATGAGAAATTGCTTCTCATGTATGTAAACCAGAGGCATAAAATCTGAGAAGTATTCAATGTGGGCATATCATTCTCAGAAGTATGGAATTTCTAGAATGTGTATTTTAAGTTATGCCAAACGCATGAAGTACACTCCTCCCTTATTTGCTCAGACTATTATATGTGTAGCCTAAGTACAATTCTGGTGTAGAAAATGTAGTTGACATTTCTGGTTTTGCTGTTTGGAATACCAAGCAACCCAAAAATGACAGTATGGCTTTGGTTTTGGCAGCCATCGATTCTCTGATCCCCACCCACCACAAATCTTAACAAGCTGTTTAAAAATTGTTTTTGTTGCTTGTTTTCTTTTCCCTTTAATTTTAAGATGAGCTTTGCTTTTTAAATTTGAAAATACAGAGAATTATTTGGTTTGTGTCATGTTTTATTGGTTGATTTTTAGCTATTAAATGTACGGTCTTGTTTCTTCATAAGGTAAGGAAGAAATATCAAACATGCAATTGTAAGGTGTTCAGATTGCTTTTTTTTTTTTTTTTTCTTTTAATCCAGCAAGAAACCAACTGTTTAAAGCATCAGGGAAATGGGGCATAGGAAGGTTTTTCATCTGCAATTTCTGCAGTCTGATAGTTCTTCATTCTTTTCCAGGACTGTGCAGAATTTGTCACAGGATAGAGAGAAACTTGATTTGTGCACATAGAACTGAAGAGGAAGTTGGTTCTCCTCACTATCCCTCCTTTATCATCATACTTCATGGTTAATTTATCAGTAGTGATTTTTAACATCATGTCTGTTTATATTAAACACAGAGTAGTTTAGTGTCAGATGGTAAGAGAGAAGTCTCTGACTTCAGGAGGGAAAAGCATTAAAAACCAGGTTTAGGCCAAGCAAATATTTCACTTACACAGCTTAAAAATCATCACAGGTTTAGTAGCTGTGCTGGTAAATCTTAGCAGTAGCATCTTAGAGCATCAACAGCTGCTCCAGTCTTAAATACAAGAACTACAACTTTTGGTTTTGTATAATATGACTCTTCTGGTGAGTGAGTGTAAAGTAGTTTTCTTCATGCTTCAGTAATGAAATACATATTTCCCAGTGTGCAGTGACAGATAATTAAAGAGATTGAACTTTTTCTTTTTTTATTACCATGCTGAAGACATGAAATAAGAATTAGGGGAAAAGGTCAAATGTTATAAATTTATTTTGGGACATATATATTGCAACCTCTGTGGAAGCTTTTGAAAATTCTGGCAAAGATCAATACACTTCCAATAAAACCTTTAAACTTGCAATAAAACAATATTTTAAACATTATATATATATATATTTATATATATTCTTAATTAAAGGGTTAATTTTAGCAGGATTTTCTTTTTTTTTTAATATACTGCATTCCTCTGACATAGCTCTTTCCAGATTGAAGGGATGCAAATGAGGTAAGAATTAAGGCAAACCTAAAAGGCATGCAAATGAAGTACATTTATATCCACTGACAATACAAGCACGTGTGGATCAGACTTGGGAGCCGAGAAGCTCTTCCCTCCTGTCTGTCCAGTACTACTTTACAGCAGAATGGTGACATGATTTATAATAAACAGTTAACATTACCATGGGAATTCAGTGTCACTAACATTACTCAGTCTAGGAGACACAGAGCTAGCATCAGTAAAACATGAACAATAAATAATATAATTCACTGCAGCACAGGCCTGCTGCACAGGATTCAGAGGAAGAGGGTTGTTATGAAATGACATTGCACACGTCACGTTGTGGCAGTTTATTTTTATAATATATACTTTTAAAATTCTTTAGCAAATGACATTCTCATGCACACAAGTGTTTCAAACACAAGAAGCAAGTCCATTTATAGGTAGTCCAAGCAAATTTTTGTGTGTGTGGAAATAGCTGCAAACTGAATGGAACATTAAACTTCTGTGCAGTCTATGACACGTCGTACACAAGCTCATTTTTGAATGTCACACTGCAGGAGTAATACAATGGACGGATCACTCTTTGCAGCTTCTTTGAACTCATCCAGTGTGATCTGATCGTCTTTGTTCTTATCCATCTTACTGAAGATCTTGTCTACCCGTTGCTCAGGCGTCAGACCATCCTCATTCATTTTCATCATTATCACAGTGCCCACCATTTTGTAGATGGCCTTTGGAAAGAAACCAGATGGAAAATTCAACATGAAATTCAATCGAAGTTTTTCATGTGATCAAATTCTGGAAATATGTTCTAAGCATAAAATGATTGCAAGTTTCTCTAAAGATTTGTGTTTTTTTTTTTTTTTTTTTTTGGTTTTGTTTTGTTTTTTTGTTTTTTTCTTTTCTTTCTTAGGATCCAAAATCCAGATACTTAAAACAAGGAAGAATATATTTTACTTTCTTTAGATATAGGTTTATTTTGATGGTTACATTTTGCATCCCAGAATGAATTTCTTTGGCTTCCTGTTTCACAATGTAAAACTCTTGTAACTTACTCTCTGGATCAATTGTTCAGTTAAAATATTTCACATAAATTCTGAACAATTTGTTTTAGAAGTCACCACCCTTCAGTAGGTTTCTGTGTGTACATGCGGGCACAATCTGGTATTAACTGCTGTGGCAAGTTGCCGACAGATGACGAAGGTGATAAACTTTATCCTTCCTCTTACAAGTTGTGGTCATCTTAAAGCCCATCTGTGAGAGCTCACTTAAAATAGAGTGTTGTTGTCCCTGTAAATTTCTGTAATCATCTGAAGTTAATCTCCAGTAAGGCTTCAGCTATTTGAGCTACAGTTCAATAATTTCATGGGTGTCAAGTGACTGAGAGGGGCTTTGTAAATCCTGTGCTGTTCTTGTGATTAATCCATTCATCAGGGGAAAAAAAAAAATCTCAGGATATTTAAAAGCTTATATGCACATATGTACTCTTTGCAATTCTCCAAGATTAAATCTATTAACAAACACGTTAGTGTGCTTGTACCACTTGGGCACCAGTCAATGCAGGATTAATGTGTGTAATGTGCATTTAATGTACTGTACAGCCTCTGGTGAGCCTAAAATCTAAAGTCTGTGTCAACAAGGAATCAAGTTTTATTAACATTGTGATGTTTTTGAGTGTCATATTGATCTCACCTCTATAATTTCCAGCATTTCCACTCTTGTAATTTTACCATCACCATCCAAGTCGTACATGTTGAAGGCCCAGTTCAGCTTTTGCTCAAAACTGCCTCGTGAGGTGATGGACAGGGCACAAATGAACTCTCTGAAGTCGATGGTCCCATCTCCGTTTTTATCAAAGGTTCGGAAGGCGTGCTGGGCAAACTTAGAAGCATCTCCATATGGAAAGAACTGCAAAATAAAATAATATATAGAACTGTGTTAATGCAAAGAAGAAAGCTGTATATGTGACTACAAAACACCAAAGTGAGGCATTTATAAAGAGTGGCTGGTGAGCTTTGTGGGAAACTGAGGATCTGCAATGTAAGGTTCCCTAACTGGAATGATTATTAAAAACTTATTTCTATAAAAATTGCTCAAGTTTCCACAAGCTATAATCCAAATATATATAATGCTACTTTAAAGTTAAATTAACTAGATGACACTTAAAATGAATTTGAGTGTAAATGGTAGATTGTGTGTAATATTCTCTGACTATGAAATAAAGAAGCTAGGATGCATTCTAAGAGAATTTTAACCAGCCCTTGACATATTGCAAACAAGTATATGTGTAGGATTGTTGTTATATAACTTCATTTATTTTAAAAAAAGTAATCCACATGTAGCATAAAAAACCCACATGAACATATGTTCCATTCTGCAAACCAGCATTCAAGTACACAAGATGAAAACAGATTCAGTTAAACAGTATAGTGCAATGCTTTTCATGTTTAATATCCTAATATCCTTCAGTGAACACTGCAATTGACTGTAGCTTAACAGAGTATTTTAAATGACTATAACATGTAAGTTTTCAGCTGATATATTTTCCCCTCAGGAAGTGTATGGTTTATGAGCAGGTAGTTGTTATTTCTGTGGGCCAGACTCAAGAAAACACACCCCTACAGAAATGGAGTTTTAAACCAGTGCTAAAGTCCTATTGCAGTGCAGGGACCATACACAAACAATGATTGTTATTATATTCCCAGCACAATTTCATGGAGGTTTTCCTGTTCCTAAAATATAAACATGCATTACTCTCCTTATGAGAGCCATCTTATTTTGTTCTTTTTAAAATTCCAATTCTTATTAAGTACTGTATTTATAATGTAAGCTTGAAGGAAAGTCTTCAGTGGCAGCTGAAATGGAGCTGCATTTTACAATTTTCCATTTCCCCATCCAGAGCTGTGTCTTGCCTTAAAAATGCAAAACTTAGAGCTCAGCCAGCTGCTTGCACTATGTGGCCATGTGGAACTTGTCAGGAGTCACTGCTGTGTTGTCACAGGGATCTCAACCTGAAAGTTTCTTTTCAACTTTCTGTTTTCTCTGAAAGACCATTTGTTATTGTCTCCTCCTGAAAATGTAACTTCTGTGCCTGTACTCAATCCAACCTTATTTCTGTTTTGATAATCATCACTGATGGGAGAGGTCGAGGTGCTGCTGCGATCTTTCTGTACTTTCTGCTTTCTGGCCACTAAAAATGATCATGGTTGGGCTCATCAACAGATACAAAGATATTTGGGTTCTCTGATACAACTCAGGATTTCAGTGGCTGCAGTTACCAGACCTTGCTCAATTGTTCTTCTAGTGACAACCTCAACCTTTTCTCAAAGCAAGGAGAGCTCCCTCCATGGGAAGGCTCCTTGGGCTCACAGCCTGGCATTCAGGGTCAGAACAATGTTATCCAAAACCTGAATGTTATTTTCAGGTTCCTCATTGCTTCCACTTGCCCATGACCCAGCTCCCCCTCTAATTCCTGTTCCAGGTCCGAATGTTAACATAGGTGATATTTAATTTTATGTACATGTGTAGAATGTGCCCTTCTCCAGTCCCCTGCTGAGAGGTTAAGAATTGGCTCTCATGGCCTGTATTCCACCATGAATTCCATGTCCCCCACCTTTTATTCTTGAGAGTTTGCTGGCTGTTCAAAGCTGAAAGGACAAATCTTTTGCTTTTTAAATCTGTGCTGATGACACTGTCATGTGACACATGTGTAACACAACAAAACACTTCAAAATTTTACAGTCTTTCCAAGTACTTTTTCTCAGAACTGACTGCTGCTGAGGATGCTGCCTGATCTCTCTGTTCCTGTGACTGTCACTGTACAGTCTCTATAAAAGAAAGGTAAATAACTGGAGGGAACTGAGACTGTTCTCTTCATTGCCCAGAAAACCAAAATACAGAAATGGCGCAAACATACTGGTGAGACCAAAGAATGAAAGTACAATGGAAAAGCAAGCCTACACAAAAGGTGAAGAAGTGTCAGACACCCAAAAACATGTAGGAGTCCAAGAACAAAGTGGAGAATTAGGTTGGGTCAGTGGCTGGAGATCCTGAAAACCATTTTTAAGTTGTTCTAGAACATATTTTTCAGTCTCCCACTGAAGGAGCATCTGCAAGTGTGCCTACCTCTTTGCTGGTCAAACCATTAGCCTCATTAGCAGTTAGAAAAACATCCTTCTAATTTTTTTTATCACAGACAAGACCATGCTTTTTTTCTTTTTTGAGGTGAAGAAGATAGTGGCACTGCTCAGCTAAGTCTTGGCCTTTACAGCATCAAATGGAACTGTTACCCGGTTTTAATTTTTTTTCCTATTTGTCTTCCTGTAGGGAGTAAATGCAGGAAAATGTCCTTTAGGGACTGAAGGCACTGTTCTCCAGTCTGTACCTGCTGATGTGTATTATTTTTAGCTCAGAACAACCCAAAAACATTGTCAAAACTTGTTTAAAAACGTACTTGAAGATTTCCATTGGCCTGTTTTGAAACTATTCATAAATAAGACATGAAATAAAGAAAACTAAAACAATTACAGAACAAAAGATGCCAGCTTTGGTAAAACATTGTTTGACTATTAAAACACAGTGAGGCCTTAGTAAAGTATAAAGGCTCAGGCTTTAATTACTTTCAGAGCAGCCTAAGCCAAATGGCAATGGGAGACAGGGATCTCAGGAAAGACAAACACCAAGTTTTTGTCAGAGGGAACATGAGGAGGGTGGTTTAGTTTGCCTCTTGCATGAGCTCAGTGAATAGTTCAGAAAAAAAGTAAAGAAACACAACTGGGATTTTCAGTGCTCCATGCAAAGCCTTGACCAGGTGATCAATCCACATATGAAAGCAATGAGTTCCCTTCTACTGCAACCTGCCACTGAAAAGGGCACTCCATGCACCAGCACTGTCTCCTGGTTTAGCCTTTTCCTCCAAAAATCAAGACAAACTATACCAGCCAGTTCCACGGGTGACCCAACACTGCTCATTCCTTTGTTTCTGCTTCGCTAGCCTCATCTAGTGAAAGGCCTCCCTGGTCCAGAGAAAGGTGTCCCTGCCCATCCCAGGAGGCTGAAACTAGATGATCTAAGGCCCCTTTCAACCCAAACCATTCTAGGATTCATTTCTTGCTTGGTCTGTGTATTTTCTAATCAGTTAGATCAACATGCTGGGGTGTGAACAAAGTGTTATCCTTACAGTCAACTGCCAATTAAGAAAAGTAATAGGAAGATTTAAGAAAATTCATTTAATCTGCTTCTAAATTTTGTATGAGGATTTTCTTTCAGATTCTTAGCTCCCACTGTGTTTCTGGACACATTTCTGGTGTATGGGGGCATTCAATCAGGCCTGGAATCAGAATATCTAGCGAATAACACCTACAAATTGTACATAACTCTTGGGGAAACTGATCAAATACCTGGAAATATTTATCTGCTTGGCTGCAGCTGCTTTAGCCTCTTTGAAGTGATGCTGTTCACAGGCAACCCAGTGATCAATTCATTCAGATCATCTTTGGGAGGGAATTAATGCAAAAGCAGGAAGCATATGCTAAAGCATATGGCTAAAATTTTAGCACATGGCTAAAACAAAATTTTAGCACGGCTAAAGAAAAAAAAAAAATCCCAAATCGACTTCCCCAAATTCCCCCATGATAGGAAGGGGTTAGGAAAGAAAAGGTCTCTCCATGCTTAATAGGATGGGGTAGAGTGAATCTATAGACTGGCCTGAGTAGTGCCTTGTTTTCCACATGTTGTTTTATCATGGGATATTGGGATGAATTTCTATTAACAGGGAAATTCTGCTATAAAATAGAGAAAACTAGAATTTCACTAGTGTACAGAAAGCAGGGCACTGCCTACACATGCCCAGGTGACAACTCTGTCACTGATGTAAGGTCACAGCTTCCAGAGCTGGTGTGGGAGCTGGAGGTGGAAAAGCAGGAGATGGCACAGGGCTTCTGTACCCCAGGCTTGGAGAGGATGGAAGAAGCAGCTCTGATTCCCCTACCAGAGCCCATCTGGGGCTCAGCACCACCAGCTCTGCTGAGAGCTGAAGCAGAGAAGGGGAATGAGGGGGCACAGCCAATGCAAGGAGCAGAACAACCATTGTCAAGGGTCAGCACATACAAACAAGCCAAGCAGTTGGCTTTCATGGGAAAAACCTTAAACATTTGATGCTGTTATGGTTTAGGAAGGAGTTACCTGCCCTTCTTATCCACTTTATTAGTGTTTTATTTTGTAAGTCTGCTAGGCATCCACGCTAACTTTGTAAGTGAAGAACAAGAGGACTTTGAGAATCAGAAAGTTTGGCTGCTTTTGGAAGCTCAGACAGGTATCTTTTAATAGCAAACCTCTTAAAGTTGAACCCAGATGCAGTTAGCTGTTGGTCTAGCCTGGTCTTACAGCTCCTCAGAACTGAGCTCAGTGGGGACGATGCCTATGATAATGGGGAGAACATTTCTCCTCACTGATTTTCCAAGAAGATGAAGTTCTGGATTCCTGCCAGCAGCACAACACAGGAGTTGATGAGATAAGAAAAAAGATTACTCTTTAGCTGTCTCCTTTAGAAAAAAAAATAATTGAAATTTACTCCAATGCACTGTACCTTGCAGTTCTATTAAGACAACAGAAGAGGAAGAGGAATCCAGGCTGTGACTGCCAGGACCTGCTGGGAAGGCTGTGCCTCTCTGGTACCAGGGTGACCTGCAGGGCTGCAGCCTGTCCCTGCCACCACCTCTTTGTAAAAACAAAAACTCATGTAGCAAGGGCAGAACTAGGCCCGCACAAAAAGACACAGCCACACATCTGTCCTTGTTCTGGAAGAGACCTGACTGCTGCAGTCTCTAGCACATCTGCAGTTTAAGGTAGAAATATCCCACCTAAGGCAGAAATATCTCAGACACCTGCCTTCAGCCTGCCAGAGGGTC